CATTTTCAATCTATATTTTTAAAGGTGTGTTTTTATGGACAAAATAATGGAATAAGAAGTGAGATGAATTTTCATGAGGGGCACGGGAAATGGAATTTGCAAAACTAATATTTCTTTAAGGTTTTTGACTAAGAACTAATAGCATTAAGTGTGTTCTTTATTGTATGATTATATACTTAATTGTATCTTCTTTGCGAGACCCCTAACAGTGTACAATATTGAACATGAGGGAGGTATTTTTTATTATGATTTAAATTCCCAACCATCTATCAGTAATTCATAGTTCAAACATGATTGTTTGATTAGAATATTTGATTTAAGATATCTTGTCCCTGAAATTGTTCTCTGATTTGAATGGGGAAAACAATTTCATTTTTCTATTGTTTCCTTTGAATTCTTGTTCAGAAATAGTATTTAGGATATGTATGTAGATTTAAATTGTAGATGTAGATTTAAATTCATATTGAGGAACTAAGACACTTCTATTGCTCAAAATGAAATTGGAGTTAAGAATGTTAAAAATTTGAAAATGTACCCAGAGGATGTGATGAGACAAAACCATTTAAAACAAGCATCCATCCAAACAGACATTCTATATTTCTTCAGTTTTTTTGTAAATTTTAATTACTATATAGATTTTTATTAAGTTTTAATAAATATTACTTTAGTTCTTTGTTTCAATTTATGTATTAACTATCATTGACTTAGTAAAAGCATTTTATAGCATTAGATTTCTCAATTGGCATATCATTCTAAATAGGTGTCACTTTTAAACAGGTAGTTTTCTTGTTTTATAGAATGTCTGTTTCTGGTTATTATTCTTGTTTAGTGTTTATTGTGAAAAGATTTGTACGTTCTAAATTATCTGAAAAATTAAGAATAAATTTTGACTTATTTTACTTTATTTGGATACATTGTTTCTTTTTAAATATTGCTTTCAAGAAAATTATTTTAAATATAGCAGAGAAATAAAATATTTGTTGAATGAAATAAAAAAATTGTTTCCTGATGTTTTTCTTTTATTTCCTTTGCAGAAAATGATGACCACAGGAAGTGAGTGTAAAAGAATGAGTTTTTTATCAGCTTCTTCATATTGGCTAATCCCTTCTTGGTACTGGATGGAAGGTTTTCTAATCACATTATTTGAACTTCCTCCCACTTTTCTAATAACTTTGTGTTATGGGTAAGTTGGTTAAGAAGTTATTATCCAATATTATGTGATGATTACATATTTTTAGTCACATAGTTATTAATCAATTGAATTGCATTATTTGAACTTCCTCCCTTTAACTTATAACTTTGTGTTATGGGTAAGTTGGTTAAGAAGTTATTATCCAATATTATTAGATGATTACATATTTTTTGTCGCATAGTTATTAATCAATTGAATTTCAGGTTTATATTTTTACTACAGAAATTTTAATGGTAGTTTTAACTTAGTACACTATTCTGTACTTAATGTAATATGTTAGTGTTAAAAATTTGTATTTGAGGTTAATTTTAACTCTTAAAATCAGCTTAAATATAATTTATAATTTAGATAAAAGTTATCAAACATAATATAATTATTCTATCATTTCAGTCTCAGTGATTATATTAATAATTCATATTTCAGCTTTTCTTATTTCAAGTGATTGCTTGGTATTTTAAGTCTTAACTTATTTTGTTTTAACTTTATGTATGCAGTATTTTGTAAAATTCTAGGTAACTGAAATATCTAGGTATGAGAAAATTTTTTTTTTCGATTACTGATCCTATTTTTTTTATTGTATTATAATTTCTCTAGGACTAATCAATCTCTTAGGCTCAGTTTGTTTGTTAATTTAAAACATATGCTGTTATAGCTTCAAATCTATCCTACTGACAGTTATGAACCTAGAAAGTCATAGTTTCTTTATATTTCCAAATGGTTGTGCTTGTAAAAAACCTCACTCCATTTTCTACTTACAAAGGTTGTGCTGTTAGAAAAAATATCTGATCCATATGGGCCAAAATTCATTCCTATATTATAGAATTAGAGGACCCCTGAATTAGATGAAGAAAAATTATCCTTCATAACATGCTTTTCTGGTTGAAGGCAGAATTATCCTGAACCTCTTTTGTATTAAGAAAAAGTGTGAATATTTGGAAGCAGTAATAGTTAAAATTGTCAAAACTTCTAGTGGGTTAATCTGTTAATCATTATTAAATTTTGGAAAATTTGTTTCTTAACTTGTTTTTTCAGAAAACCTCATTCGTTTGTAAGTAATTATTGTATCCATTGCCATTAAAAATTTTTATTTTAGGTAGGTTAACTTTTTTTGCTGTAAAATTTCAGACCAAGTTTTTTTTTTTTTGTTCATGTTTCAATTCTTCAGATTTTTACTTGATTCATTATGATTACTCTTTTAAATGTTTCTTTTACTTTTTTAAATGAATTAAATGTTTTTCTTTCTTATCGTGTTTTATTTAAAATGCAGTAAAATATTTACTACTTTAAAGATTTTATATATAACTCATTGCTGTTATAATATGTTTTCTTTATTTTATTCATATATTTACTTAAGGTTGTGTTATCTTGAAAAAAAAATTTTTTTTTCTCACAACAATCGATGATAGTGTATAAACTAAAAATAGAATAAATGGACTTTTATTGAGAAAATGGAAAAAATTTGTTAAGAGTATGTTTGGAGAAAATTTAATTACAAGTTAACAAGTAACTAAAAATTATGAAAATGGCAGAGTAGATTAGATTGTTTTGAAATATTAATTCGTCAAATCAAATTTCTTCATACAGAATTTTAAAATGCTTATTATGCAATATTATATTTAACAAAAAATTTGCTTATCTTTTCGATTTGTTAACTGATTTTTGTATTTACATAAAACATTAATGTATTTTATTTATTTCTTTTGAATTTCCACTAATTGATTTACATCTCGGACCATAATACAACTAGATATTGAGGTTTTTCATGTTGTTCTGTAACCTAGATCAGTTAATCTTACATTAAACCACACAGAGAGTTCTAGTGTTTTAAAATACTTACATTGTAAGCTACAAAGGACTTTAATATGCTTTGATATAACAATGAGCAACTTGATTCCATTAATTTGCTTTTCTTAGAATAATTTTTCAATCCTTAGAATAATTTTTGTTTAAACATTACTTTGTGGCTGTTAGTTTGAAACAAAAACTGACAATTCTTCCTATTCACATTTATAAATTTGATTAAAACATTAACGTGATTATCATTATTTTTTAGTTATATTGACCAGCAGAAGACAATATTTTATTGCATAGCATGTTCATGTTTTCTAAATAATTATTAAATATTTTTTTATCTAATACATATTTTTTAAATTATTTCAGTCTCTGGTTATTAAAAGATCATGAAGAATGGTTTATATTACAAAATGGAAGCTACTACAAGAACTGTTATTTCCATAGTTTCATTACTTTTAATTCTTGGAAGACTTACAATATTTTGTAATGGACAAAATGTTGCTTCTGTTGCATCTCCTTTCTTCTTTCTATGCCAGTATCATCGTGACCTTGATCAACCAGGTGAAGTTCGTGGTGAAATAGTTTTGTCAGTTAATATTAAAGGTTCTCCAGAGTATTATGAGCCGGGTAAAGTGTATGAAGGTAAGTACTTTATTGTCATTTTCAATCTATATTTTTAAAGAATATTTTGAATGCAGTGAATTATCGATACTCTTCTTAATTTTTGATCTAACGTAATGGAAATTTTATTCAAATGTTTTTATCTATATTGTATCTATTTGTGATTTTCGATGCATAAAATTTTAGTATATGGCTTATAAATTGCGTAAGTGTGTTTTGTTAATATCACCAAAACAAATCTTAATGAGCGATTCATTAATTAATTACATGAATATGAAAACTGTTTTGTAACTTGCATACCTTGTAATCATAATGTGAACTTCATAAATTATGTAAATATGATAGAAGGTATATTTTGATGTAGTGTTATAAAGCAACAGTTTAATTACTGAATTATGGTAAATTAATTCTGGGATAGCTTGTTGAAAAACCATACTTGATCAATATTGTTTATTTCATTACTTTATATAACTTTCGTTATTTCTCACTTTTTGTTCCTTCACATCCAATTAAGTGGTGTTCCAATGTAGAGTTAAATCTTGATAATCTGAGTTTCACTTGCTTTCAGATATTACTTGTGAATAATTTGAAAGACAAAACGAAGCTTTTTTTCTAAATCTGCAATCAAAATAATTTATAAAATCTATATCTATAAGATTGGAGTTAACAATGTTTCAAGGTGGTTGAGAATCCATCTAGTTTCAATTAAGTGAATTTTACTATATTTTAAACTTATTAATGGTAGTCAGTTTGAACTGTTAGCTTGATGGTTAATAGTATAATATAATTTTAAAGAAAACTCAAATTCCTGTATTAATGTAAAATTTTATTGATTATGATTTTTTTTGAAGTATAATTTATTCTCTTTAAAATGCTTCATTAGATTAAAGTTCAAATATTCTGCGCACACATTTACCCAAACGGAAATAAAATCTCTAGCAAAGGAATTTTTAAAAACCCTTACTTAAAAATATTTTTTTTAAATAAAATTATGAGTCATTTTTAATGATAATCCATGTTTGCATAACTTTGTAAAAAAACATTCAATTAAGTGGATAATAAAAAGTTTGCATAACTTTGTAACTAAAAAAAAAGTTTCCAGTTAATATTGTTTAACAGATTATGTACATGATTTTTTTTTCTCATTGCATTAAATTTTATTTTATTAATTGGAAAATTAAATTCATATTTCTTTTTGTCTCATAAATTTTTTTGTTTATGATGTAATAACAATTTTTTTACTATCTTTTGTACTTTTTATGAATTTTCCAATGTATCAAAGTCATTTATTTATATTGTAATGAAAATTATAGTAATTTATAAAAGCAATTTTAGAATTAATAAATATTTAATTCTATTCTTTTCATATTACTCTGTAATTTTCTCTTATAGTCTAGCAATCTACGTCATTATATAAGGATAGGAAGTAACTAATAGATGTTTATCATTTATTTGTTGCGATTTATGAATAAACAATGGTATCAAAATCATTTATTTTATTGTAGTGAAAATTATTATAGTGATTTATGAAAGCAAATTTAGAATCGAAAAATTTGAATTTTATTCTATTCATATCAGCAAGTGCAATTTTTTCTTATAGTCTAGCAATCTACGTAATTTTAAAAGGATAGGAAGCAACTAATCTATAAATTGTCATTTATTTATGAATAATCAATATCAAAATCATCTATTTATGTTATGGTCAAAATTATTATAAAGATTCTTAAAACCAAATTTAGAATTTAAAAATTTAAAATATATTCTATTCATATCAGTGTGTGTAATTTTCTCTTATAGTCTAGCAATCTACGTCATTTTAAAAGGATAGGAAGCAACTAATAGAATGAATGTATTGTTATGCTTTTCCTGTTTTGATAAGTGAGGTACTACACAGGAAGAAAGGCAATCCATTCTTTTCAGATATCAGAGTTTTGACCTCGTTGATTGGCGCCTATTTTTTCCTTCCGAAAGTTTTATTTATCCCTTTCCTCAGACATTCTAGTTTTATAAATATATATCTACTCTAAAAACATTTCTGAAGTTACCATGTAACTCTTTTGCACTTGAACTTGAATACTCATATGGAAATAAACTAATTAGAACTATAAAGCATTGATTTTATGCTAATAGTTACTTTAAAAAAAAAAAAGTTTAATTTTTTTATAACAAAAAAAATCTTAATTTTTAAAATTTTTTTAAAAAACTTATCTCTGTTTTAAAATGAGTGGAAAACTTATCTTGAATACTTTATTACCCTCTTTGTTAATAATCTGTAATCTTCGCATGATTTAAAAGATTGTTTCTTTCAAATTCATAATTACTTTCTCTGTTTATTTTATTTTATTTTATTTTTTTAATCAAGGCATTTTATTTGAAAAGTTAATAGTTCCAAGCATTTTTTACTCTTAATTTTTACTACTTTTTTTTCAAAAATTTTTTTATCAATTTTTTGACATATAAAGTTAGTGAAATAAACTATTATTTTTTTCATGCAGGTGAAATGTTATACCAAAGAACATTTTCTTCTTGCCCTTTTTTTTTTGAAAAAAGAAAAAAGCTTGCCAAATAATTTTTTTACTGTTTTAAAACCTGTGGTGATTCCCTTTAATTATTTAATTAAGATTTATTAACTTTTCAATTTAATTAATTATTCTTTATATTGGCATTCAATATCTGAAAGTCAATAGTTCTTAGTTTTTTTAGTCTTTTTACTATAATTTTTAAATTTTATTATTATTTTTAACAAATAAAGTTGGTTTAATAAACTATTTTTTTATGATCATAAAATATTATTTCGGAAAAACATTTAAAAAAAAAATTCTGAAATAACTTTCTTTTTACTATTTCAAAACCTTAGATTCATTTTAATTATTTAATTAAAATTTATTTTTTAATTTTATTTACTTAATACCACTGCTAACTAAAGATGAAATAATTTGCAGGAAAAAAAGAGGAATTAGTCATATCCACACTTTTTAACAAAAAAGAAATTTTTTTTTTAAACATTTTATTTTTAGAGAATTTATCTAAAGTTATATCTAAAACTTTTAGGAAAAAAATTGAAATTTTCTCTTGTAAAATTAAGTGAACTCTATGAAATTTTCAAAGTAGTTTATATAAATTTCAAAAGCTTTTTAATCAAAACAGAACACAATTTTTTTTTTTATTTTTTTTATTTTCAAACAAATTTTAACAATATTTTTTTTTTGTCTTAATAAAAAATGAAACAGCTAAGTTCAATGAGCTGATTTTCTAGGAAATTTCAAACAGATATCAAATCAGCTGAAGGAATAACAGAAGATAGAAAAGACAATGCAGATTTAACTTTTTTTTTGAAAATTATGAAGGATTAATCATTGTTGCAGAAAGAAAAAGATAGTTGATGACTTTTTTTTTATAAGAAAGAATTCTCAAAATCGAAAATGTTCATGCTTTTAAGGACTAAAAAAGGAAAAAGAATTGCAACTAGAACCATCAGAAATTTTAAAACAAAAACATCAAGAATCTGAAAGGGGAAAATATTAATGAATACTTCTATTCAGAATGCCACAACCTATGTTGTAACAATAATTTTCAATGATCACAGACTCAGCAAATATGCAAGACAGTTAACAGGTTACATAGTAAAAAATTTTTTATCAGTATACCTAATAAAAGATTTTCAAGCATACTTTTAGAATGATTTGAATCCCATTACTGAAACTATTATAAGTCAACCAAAGCTGTATCTTTATATTCTGAAATCTAATTTTTAATTAAAATCTATTACATAATTTCATCCAACTTTGTTTATAAGTAGCTCACATTACATGCTCTAAAGCACAAGTGCTCATTGTGATGTACATCACAGAATAATTAAGTTTAGAATAGAACTATTTATGTTCACTTCTCTGTAGAACACTGTGAGTTCAAGTCTCGTTATATGCTGTGTATATTTTTTGTTTCATTGTGTAGGCATTTAAGGTTTCTTTAGTTTTCGTATTAAAATTTTTACTCATTTAAGAGAAAAAAATAATTTTAATTTTTAGACTTTTTTTTTTTGAATGATGTCTATAAAAGCCCTAGTGGCTCAGGAAAAAGAGCACTCGCCTTCCAATGAGGTGAACCGGGCTTGAATCTTAGCTATGGTTGGTCAATACTAATTCTGTACCCAGCTTGCACCCACACAGTGCTGATGAAAATATCCTCAGTGGTAGATGGATCATGGGTTAAAGTCCCCTTGCCATCAGGCTAACTGTAGGAGATTTCCGTGGTTTTCCTCGTCAATGTAATGTAAATGCGAGTTAGTTCCATCAAAAAGTCCTCCATGAAGGCGAATTTCTACCAACACTTGATCAAAGAGTTCCCTTGTCTTCTGGATTGGGTTCAAAATTACAAGGCTACGGAGTTGAACATTAGTAGTGGTAAGCACAAAAATTAGGTCGGTTGTTCAAGGATGGTTGTAAAATAAAATGTCTGCGGAACATTTGTAAGTACATTGAGTATTTGTAAATGCTATAGAACTTTTTGTAGAATAGATATAATACTGCTCCAAGGATTACACGGCATTGAAAAAAAAAGAATTTATTCAAAATAATTATTTCTTAAATTTATTTTTGAGGAAACCAAATTCCTTTAAGCATATCAGGGGGTATCATGTTTTTTACTCCAGGATAAATTTTACTGAGGCAATTCATAACATGAATTATGTTTCATATTTGTGATATTTCTTGTTGCTGATTTTGCTTCTTTTTTATTTACTATTGTTTCTTGTGTGTGTTGACTACAATTTTTTAATTTATTACTAAGTAATGCACTCTTTCAATCCTTTATTGAAGTACAGGAAGACAAATGACATGCTTTTTTTCTGACTTTATTAAAAAATTGTAATGGATAAAGTAAAAAGACTTACAAGAAATATGTTGTGTTAAAAATTAATTCTAAATTTTTATATTTATTATTTTAACATTATTATTTTTAGATTTATTATTTTTATGTTTATAATTTTAGTATTTTAATGTTTATTATTCATTTTGTTCATTTTTTTTAAAAAAAAATCTGAATTTAAGCATGGCATGTTTGAATAAAACAGCAAACAATTTTTAGTTATGAAAACTTTGGATTAAATATGTTAAAATATGAACCATAATTACACATCATTTTAAAATCCTTTAATGAATTTTTTGTTGCATTCAGAAAGTATTTAAATTCCATTATTATATTATTATAGTTTGTTTTGTATTTATGCAATTATAGTTTTGCAAAAGTCTAATGCACTTTATGAGCTAAATATCTTTTAAATTTTATTTTTTTTTGTTAGATTTACATAAAGAATAGTTAAACATCCATTTTGCTTTTTTTTGTAAATAGGATATAAGTGCCAATAGAAAACAAACTATTTTGTTTTAGACTTTAAAGAAGGAATAATTATAATAATTAAACAAAATAGCTACAAAATCAAAGTAATTTTTACACATTTATATGAACTTTTAAAAAAAAATGTGTTTTTATTTTAAGTTGCTATTGTCTAATAATGTGTATTAATTTACAGATGTCTTTTAGAAATTTATCTCACTAATTCAAAATACATTAAAAGAAAATTACTGTTAAAGTAAAGGTTTATAACAATTTTATTTACACAGTTACGGTTTCTTCAAGTCTTGATTTTGATGGCTTTCTTATGACTGGCCTTTATACTGCTCCATCTGGAACAATGAGCAAGACAATGAACCTTTTGAATAGCAATTTACCTACTGAACAAGGAGGTGGACATGGCTTAGTATGTGCAATAGTTCATTCACACTTATCTCACAGACCTGCAAAATCTCTTAACTTTTTGTGGATGGCACCACCAACTGGAACTGGATGTGTAAATTTTTTGTAAGCTCTTAGTTACTATTAGATCTTTTTTTTTTTTTAAATAGGATTATTTACTTAACAAAGAAAGATTATAAGTAACCTATAAACTGTCATCCCTTATCTTAGTTTGGGGCCGAACATACTTACTTTTCTGAACAGACAGAACATTCATAAGGTTGGGATATTTGCCAAGTTAGCACATTCTTTAAGCTCTTGGGAATCTCATACCAGCAAGATTTAACTTTTTTTTTGCATAATTATAAAAATTTAGCGTGTTTTTTTTAGCACTAAACTTTTTTGAAAATCCTCCTCTGTTCCATTCTTATTTTTCAGTATATCATGTATAAAATTTAAGAACATCAGAAATTTGAAAAAAAAGGTAAAAAAATGTAATGTTGTCTGTTTTTTGGGAATAGAATTTAACAAAAAAAAATCACATTTTTAAATTGCAGATGAAACATAACAACTGGTTTTGAGCACATATAATCAGATTTTCTCCATAATATTCATTGGAGATTCTGTTGTTGACAAGGAACTTCATATGCGAATTGTCTACCTAGTGAGACAGCTGAAATGTATTTAAAAGAAAAGGCAATATTAAAAGGAGATTAAGGAGATTATTTCAAGAAAAAGTTCATGTGTTATTTATCAGAAACAATGTATTGATTTAATGACTTGGGACTACTAAGGACATAAATAGATTTATCACGGAAAATACTTAAAAAAATAACTGTGAAAAGTACAAATTTAAACCATTAACAAAAAGTTTGAGTCAACATTTTTTTTTAGATTCAAATTTCCCTTAATGACCTTAGAAATTAAAGCATTTTGTCATTAAAAATATATTAGAAATAAATGAAATATTTTCTTTAACAACTTATTTTGCATAATCTTTTTTAATTTTTTTAAATTTTATTTTTTAATACTTTTTATGTATGCATTTTATGATATATTTAACATGATTCAGTTCAAAATGCATTATATAGATTTTCAATGCACTTTAACAGTCAATGTGGTATTTTTTCTTTAAAATAGGGCAACTGCTTCTTTAGGTCATGAAGTACTGTTTAAAGATACATTGGCATTACAACTTTGTGAAGCAGGTGGTAAGTCTATGTTGGAAAGGAAAAATTTCCAAAGATTACATTATTTGAATATTTTACTTTTGACTTCACAATTTTGATGTGCAAATTTCTGAACACTATTTTAAAATCTTTCCTAGACTCTTCAAAATCCACTGAAGCTCCAACTTTAATGAGTGGTATTCATGATCCAGGTCTTGTGATAAGAGAAGACTTTGAAAACTATGATGAGGCTAATTCGAATATTTGGTCTGAAGTAATCAGTGGTGTCGTGAATGATCAATGTGGATCTGTACTTCATGGTAAAGCTGCTACATTTTGTGGTGCTACCGGACCCAGATCATTAGTAGGTTTTTATTTATGAAATTACTTTTTTTTGGGGGGGGGGGGGGNGGGGGGGGGGGGGTATTTTATTTTTTAGATTAATTTTATTACTTCAACATAGATAATTTTTTTAAAAATTTAAACATGATCTTTTTGAAGATAACAAGTCTTGAATTCAAAAGTCAATTTAATCCACCTTGTTTTTTTATTTTTTTAAAAAAAAACAAAGTTTGTATGTATTATTTTTCGACCAAATTAAGCAGTTTTGACCATATTTTAAGTATTTAAAATGTTAAAAAATGAAACCAAATTTGTGTACAGTTAATTTTATGTAATTCAACTTCTTGATAATTTTGAAATTATATTACAAAAATATAATCTTTAAAAGTGAATATTTTCCCATTACTCTATGTTTGAGGAATCAATTTTTTTGAAAGTCTGGTTTATTTTGGTATTTAAGTTATTAAATTAGGAATTTTTTTCCGCTCCCAAAAATAAATAAATTAAAATAAAAACTTTCTCCTCATATCAAAATTAGCTTCATTTAATTTTTCTTTTTAATTTATATCACAACATTCTAGTGATTTTTAAAAATTATCAATTGCTTTTGAAGGAAAAAATATTTCTTTAAATTTAAAAGCTTGTATCCTATGATATTTCTCAAAATGAATGTAAGCTGCTTTTAATCATATCATCAAATATATAGCTGCTGGAGGATTTAAGGGGGTTCAAATCCCTTTAAAATTGAAAATTATCTTTCTATGTTATGCGATCAGAGATTTTCTAAAAAAGTTTATCATCAAAAAGTTATCGTGTATCATTGTCCAAATATTATTTAATAATGCAGACAAATAAACACAATTTTGCCATTTTAATAATGAAAATTTTAATGACACAATTCTATGGTTTGTTTTGTGCTTTACATATATATCTATATTCACATGGTTTGCATTGATTATTTTTTATGTCATCTTCTAAAAATTAAAATTAAATCACTTTTATATAACATAATTTTTTTATATTTCTAATGTTTCTATTTATTAATGTCAATTTATGATTTTTTTTTCTTTAGACAACTGTTCCTTTGAACACATCTATGGCAACAACTTTACAGTTTGCATTAGGTAATATATTTGTCTCAATTTTCCTATTATTTACAATACTCAGTTACTTACATTTCCTGAAACTTTTTATATTCTCTAAATTTTGTGAAATCCTTCATTTAATAATTTTCCAGAATTTTTAAATGTTTTATTTTATTTATCCAATTAATTCAAGCTATTTAAATTTAAAAGTATGCTTAGCAACAACGAAAAGTTCTTTTTACTGTATAATTTTGAGAATTTTTCATCAAGTAGTTTTAATCAATATTAAAATAGTTTTGATTGTTGGAAAACTCAAAATAAGTATTAGAGAATAAAAGTTGCGGTAGAAAAAGCGATTCATTATCTGTGCAAAATGTTCAATTATATTTATTACTAATTCTCTTATCTCAGTCAGTTTTGTATTATGGCATTGCAGTTATTAATTTTATTTTGTAATTTTTAAAAAAAATATTCAAGAATTTTGAATTTTTTTCATTTTATTTTGCATTGATGAAGAAAATATCAAAATAAGTATAAAAAAAAATTTTTTTTTTTAACATTTTGAATTTTATGTTACAAAAAATTTTTTTTAAGATTATTTTATCCATGACATTTTTAGATAAATAAATGTTATATATGTGTCTAAAATTGTTTTGATATACTTAATTGGTTCTAAGGATATGGTAAAAGTCACAAATATTAAAATTATAAGGATTCAAAACTTCCTGTTGCTCTTCTGTGTAACTAATGGGACTGTATTTTCCAAAATTTTCAATTACTCCCCAATCTTTAAGGGTCGAAAATTTTAATTATTCAAAACGAAAAACATGCTTATTCAATAAAAGTAAATTTTTGCCTTTGACTTTGTAACTTTAAATTTTGCTGCACTTTAGACTTGAGATTAAATTTTTGAGCCATTAAGATTGCATCTTAGCTCTCAAAAATCTTGTTACTTGATCTAAAAATAAAGTTGTTCTGTTTTTTATTTTGCATACGATGCATTTTCATCTTGTACTTTCAGGAGTTGGAAATTGTAGTATTGCAAGCGATGAACCAGTTATTAGTGTTTTTTATGGAACAGATAAGTGTACAAAATGGCACGAACTAGAACAAATCAAGTAATGTTTCACATATTTGCTTCTTTATTAGATTTTACTTTACTTCGATATAATCTATGATTTTGATAGATTATATGATGTGTTATATTATTAATGTAATTAAATCACTGTTATTATTTCAAGTGAATGTTTTGTGATTTTAGATTGCTACCATCTACAGAAACAACTGTTCATATTCTGTGCTTACCTCCGAACGCTAAATCAACAGATGTTTGTATTCAGTGGTATCAAGAAAGTGTTCCCAAAAATAAAAATTATAAAGGATGCTGGGCTATTGATAACATTGTAATTAGCAGTGTAACTGATCGTCCTAAACTATTAGAGGAGAATATTGATCCAATTGATCCTGGAAACTTTTTGTTCTTCCCTGGTGGTTCAGTTAAGGTAATTTTTTTGAAGAAATTAATACTTGTTTCCTTTTCTAAATTTTGTATTTTCTGAGTGAATGTTTATGTTAAAAAAACATCTAAAAATATAAATTAATACTGTAATATTTAAAATATTGGGTGATATATGTGATGGTATGATACTATGTATCAGGATTTTATGAAACTGTTTGCATTGAGTCATTTCTGCTGTAAGTTTTTGATTTAATTATTTTTATAAATTGTTTTTTATATGATTCTGTTGTACCTTTTTAAAATTATCAGTTATATTTATGAAATAACCATATGTAACATTAAAGGGGACTAAGCTGAGATGGTATCTGATGTTAACTTATGTTTAATGTACAATGCTTCATATTTCCTATTTTCATATATATCTTTGTTAACCAACTTTTAATTATGTGTAATGTTGAACTTACTTCAATTTCTGTGTGAGATAATGGTTCATAAAAATATTTGCTCAGAAACCTTTAACTGTTACTCAGACTGACAAAATTTTGCGCCTTTCTTTCTTTAATTTTTTTTTAAAAATTTAAAAAAAAATCTGTATATATATATATTTATTTATTTTGTTAGTGTTTTATTTGTTTTAGATATAGTGGCTTATTTTATTTCTTATGAAAGAGTATGATATTGTAGTTTATTGTTTTCTAAAATCTCATGGTTAATTGAAAGTGTTTATAAATTTTAAAAAAAAAATAATCTTTTCATTTTTTGTGTTGCAATAATACAGCTCCTTTTAGAAGTAATAAAATTGAATTTTTTTCAATTTGTTAAAATGAGATTCTACCATTTATTTGTATGACTCCTCAGTTGGAATTTTATTTTTACTTCTAAACACTATTCCAGTTAGTCTATAACATATATGCTTGGTATTTAATTTGTAATTTTTTTTATCAAAAATTTATTAAACTAAACATACTTACTCTTTGTTTTCAAATGTTGAAAATATTTTAGCCTTATTTAAAGTATTTTTCTCAAAACGTATTTTAAATTTGATTAAAAATTTTTTCGTCAGAGGAAATGCCATTCAGATGGAAATGCTCTAGTATTTGGTGGCCATTGGAAGCAACATGCTCTCATCACACGTGACTTAGACATGTCCACTGGCATAGCTAGTGCTGATATAATTTTTAATGAAGATTTCAACAAGCCTAGTTCTTCGTGAGTATCTTAGAATTTGTTGGTAAATTTTTTAATTAATTTTTGAGAGCTGCGATAGCTCAGGGAATAGAGCGCTCGCCTTCCGATGAGGTGAAATGGGTTCAAATGCCAACAATGGATGGTTAATATGAATTTGCATCCGGCTTACACCGACCACAGTGCTGACGTGAAATATCTTCAGTGGTAGACGGATCATGGGTTAGAGTTCCTTTGCCGTCAGGCTAACTGTGGGAGGTTCTCGTGGTCTTCCTCTTCATGTAATGTAAATGCAGATTAGTTCCATCGAAAAAGTCTTCTACCAAGGCAAATTTCTCCCAATACTTGATCCAGGAGTTTCCTGGTCTTCGGGATTGTGTTCAAAATTACAAGGCTACGGAATTGAACATTAGTAGTTGTAAACCCAAAAATTTTGATCTGCTGTTCCACGACATTTATAAAACAAATTAAATAAATTGTCTAAAAATAATGCAATGATTAATGATATAAATTATTTTGTTGTTTCTAAGATTGTTTTATTATTCTTATTGAATACATTTCAGATGGGTCATGAAAGGTGGCCAAATAGATTCTCAGTGTGAAATATTGAATTACAAGAAAGCTTTAGTTATGTCTGGCAAAGGCAGTAGGATAATTTGCTCTCCGTATGTGAATGCTGTGAAAGCTGGAAACTTGCGTTTTCATTTCTTGTTTGGTGAGGATGATAATTTTCATAAAAATATTGTTTACCTGAAACGAATTATTATATTCTTATATTTCTTATAAATTATATATTTATATAATTTATAAGAATTTGTCAACTTTTTATGTTTTCAATGAAATGTTTTTGTAATTTTTTTTTCTATGATGATGACAGACTATGTGCAGTGGTATTTTCATTAGAATCTTCTTTTGTCCTTTATTAAAATCTTTTATTTTCTTATAAAATATTGGAAATTTCAATTACTTCAAACAAAATTTGTTTTAATCTTGACAGAAATATGTGTTTGCTTAAATTTTCTGAACAATCTCAAATTCTTTATTCGGATAGCTTTAATAACTTACTTTTGATACGAGTAAACTAAGAAATAAATAGCACTTAAACCTGGCTTTTTCCAAATTTTTAGTTGCAGGCTTTCTTGCATCAAAAAACCGATTTCTCCCATGTTATTCAATGGGAGAGTAGTGCATAACTGGGAAGTTTTCATATAATTTTACCCATGTGCTCTACGCTTGGAAGATTAAATAATTAATGTAATTCTATTTTATTCTTAGAATAGTTTTTTTTCAGTATTCACGTATACTGTGAAATAGACATAAAAATATCTTTCAACATTTTAATTTAAATCATAAATTTACCAATTTGATTGAAATGCCTTTCTCATTTCATGTAATCACAATAAATTGCTGATCCATTAAATGGTTAAAGAGTATTAATAATTTTTAGAGTTATGTTAATTTAAAAAAAAAATTTAAATTCTAAATAACAGCAGCTTTTAACCAAAAACATTGTTACTTAATCTTGTAGTGGCTTATCTCCGTTATATGATAGGGTGACACTCATCAGTCCTGGGAACTGAAATCAGTCTTGAAAGAAAATCAATAGATGAAGTTTCATAAATTAATTTGTCTTTTCAATTTGTTTTTAATATTAAAGTTTCTGTATTTCCTTAAAAATATAAAATAAAATTCTGTTAAATAAAAATAAAAATTACATTTTAATGTAAACATTGGTAATTTTTATAATTAGTGTGAAATGATCAAGTAATGATGTAGCTCATTAAAAAGAAAATGAGATTGAACTTCAACGCTAGCTTGCTTAAACAAAATTTGTACTATTGTTGTATCTAAATTTTCTTGTTTTTAATTTTCCCCAAGCATTTTTTAATGCTGGGCCATGTTAAATTGAGATTATTATTTCTTTTTTAAAAATTATAGAGATAGGACAAGAAATAAATAATGATGAAGTGAGAAAATAAGTAAAGATATGTATAGCTTAGAAAAAATTAGTGGTTTATTATTCAGTGGTTGGTGTAAAAAGATGTACAAGGTTAACTGTTATTTTTATCTTTTTTGCTGTAAGAAATAAAATAATAAACTGAAGGGGAAAAAAACTTGATAATTAATTTAGTATATAAGTCCTTATCATAGAAAGGTACATCCTGGAATCAGTGAGCTATAAATGTCTGAAAATTCTAGTAAATAATTCTAGATTGTGTTAATTTATCAAAAAAATAAGTTCAGTCTTGAAATATTTTTAGAGTGGCACCGCTAAATAGGACTTAATAGATTTAATAATTTAAAATACAAAATACAACTTTATTGTTTTCTTCCATGGAAAACCATTTAAAATACTGTGCTTGATAGAAACAATTTTGTACAAATTTGCCAAAGTAACGAATCAGTTGAAAAAGGAAAGAGATTGTTTTCATACTTGAGCAATATAGCCACAATTAATTTAGAATTTCTCATAAATTGACTAGCAAATATTTATATAGATCTTTTAAAATGCTTATTTTACAAGTAAACTTGACTGAATATCTAATAATAGAGCTGATATAAAAAATAAAAACTCTTGTCAAATTAAAAATTGAGCCTTTAGAAATCCTAAATCGGTTTAATTATATTCTCAATCATCTGCTACCTTGATCAGTAAAAACCTGTTACTAATTTTTAAGTAGGCTTGTGTTAAAATTAAGTAAAGCCTAGAGAATAACTCATACATAATTAATTTTATTCTTTTGCATTAGCGAATTTTCTTTCACTTAGTTCAGACATGTTAATCATTTTTGTTATTAGAATTTTGACCTTTCCAGTTTTTTTTTCCAATTTTCTTTTCCTTTCATCAGGCTTAGTTCAAAACACCTTTCTATTGCCATATTTAAAACATATTATCACTTATGTTCAGTGTAGTGTTAGCTCTTGTTTCATTAAATTCTAATTTCATTCAATCCATCCTTTATGTTTGCTATTGTAACTGCTAGAATATTTCGAATTATAATGTTATATAAAAATTATCTTTTGCCCAATGAGTATACTTTTTCTAATATTATTCCTTCAGCCAATATTATCATTTCAGCCTAATTTTTAGTATGCCCTTTAACCGACTGAATGTTTTCACCATTTAACAATCTGGTTTGATCTGTTGTCTTTTCTGCCAAAAAATCAGTTATTCAATCAGAAATTTATGTAATGAAGAAAAATTTCTATACAAACTTGCCAAAATGCAAGTTGGTATTTTTTGGCAAAAATTTTATTTTTTCATTTTCACTTTGCTCTTTTTATATATAATATTACAATGTTTTAAATTAGATTTACAAACATTAAAATGTGTATGGAGAACTAATATTCGATATTTTAGTGCTTTTTAAATTTTAGTATTAAATTACAAATATTGGGTTTCTAAATTTATTTAATTTCTTATTGTTTTTTATTATGTTTTTGAAGAGAAAAATAGTTTCAAAAGTAATTATTGATTAAATTGCTGTTTAGGAGGTGACAACTGCTCAATTTCTCAAAATAATGTCCATATGGGACACAATGCTCCTGTAATTGTATATGCAGAAGCTTCTACTGGAGAGCAGGTTACGCTTGCAAATGTTATTCATGCTGCAGTTATGGTAATAAATTCCAGTTTCTAAAATTTTGTTTTAAAAATNCTGGCAAAGGCAGTAGGATAATTTGCTCTCCGTATGTGAATGCTGTGAAAGCTGGAAACTTGCGTTTTCATTTCTTGTTTGGTGAGGATGATAATTTTTATAAAAATATTGTTTACCTGAAACGAATTATTATATTCTTATATTTCTTATAAATTATATATTTATATAATTTATAAGAATTTGTTAACTTTTTATGTTTTCAATGAAATGTTTTTGTAATTTTTTTTTCTATGATGATGACAGACTATGTGCAGTGGTATTTTCATTAGAATCTTCTTTTGTCCCTTATTAAAATCTTTTATTTTCTTATAAAATATTGGAAATTTCAATTACTTTAAACAAAATTTGTTTTATTCTTGACAGAAATATGTGTTTGCTTAAATTTTCTGAACAATCTCAAATTCTTTATGCGGATAGCTTTAATAACTTAATTTTGATACGAGTAAACTAAGAAATAAATAGCACTTAAACCTGGCTTTTTCAAAAATTTTTGCTGCAGGCTTTCTTGCTTCAAAAAACCGGTTTCTCTCGTGTTGTTCAATGGGAGAGTAGTCCATAGCAGGGAAGTTTTCATATAATTTTACCCATGTGCTCTATGCTGGGAAGATTAAATAATCAATGCAATTCTATTTTATTCTTAGAATAGTTTTTTTTCAATTATTCATATATACTTTGAAATAGGCATAAAATTATCTTTCAACGTTTGACTTTAAATCATAAATTTAACAATTTGATTGAAATATCTTTCTCATTTTATGTAATCACAATAAATGACTGATCCATAAAATGGCTAAAGAGTATTAATATTTTGAGAGTTATGTTAATTTTTTAGAAGTAAATTTTAAATAAAAGCAGCTTTTAAGCTACAACTTTTTTTATATAAACTTATAGAGGCTTATCTCTGTTATATTATATGCTAAAGAAGAATTAATAGATTAATAGATTTAATGATTTAAAATACAAAAAACAACTTCATTGTTTTCTTCCATGGAAAACCATTTGAAATACTGTGCTTAAATGAAACAATTTTGTACAAATTTGCCAAAGTAACGAATCAGTTAAAAAAAAGGGAAGAGATTCTTTTCATACTTAAACAATATAGTTACAATTAATTTAGAATTTCTCATAAATTGATTAGCAAATATTTATGTCGATCTCTTAAAATATATATTTTCCAAGTAAACTTAACTGAATCTCTAATTATAGAGGTAATGTAAAAAGAAAATTCTTGTCAAATTAAAGCTTAGAACCTTTAAAAATCCTAAATCGGTTTAATTAAAATCTCAATCATCTGCTACCTCAATAAAATCAACAAAAAAAACTGTCTCTAATTTTTAAGTAAGCCTGTGTTAAGATAAAGTGAAGGCCAGAGAATAAGTCATACATAATTAATTTTATTCTTTGACATTAACGAATTTTCTTTCACTTAGTTCAGAGATGTTATTCTTTTTTGTTATAAGAATTTTGACCTTTCCAGGTTTTTTTTTCCAACTTTCTTTTGCTTTCACCAGGCTTAGTTCAAAACTCCTTTCCATTGCCATATTTAAAACATACTATCATTTATGTTCAGTGCAGTGTGTGTTATTGCTTGTTTCATTAAATTCGTATTTCATTCAATCAATCTTTTATATTTTCTATTGCATCCACTAGAATATTTTGAATTATAATGTTATATAAAAATTATCTTTTACCCATTGAATATACTTTTTCTAATATTATTCATTTCAGCCTAATTTTTAGCATGTCCTTTAACTGACTGAATGTTTTCAACATTTAAAGATCTGATTTGATCTGTTGTCTTTTCTGCAAAAAAATCAGTTATTCAATCAGAAATTTGTGAGAAAAATTTCCATACAAACTTGCTCAAATACAAAATGCTCAGTTGGTATTTTTTGGCAATAATTTTTTTTATTCTTACTTTGTTTTCCTTATATATAATTTTGCAATGTTTTAAATTATATTTACAAATATTAAAATGCGTATGGTGAATTAATATTAGATATTTTGAGTGCTTTTTAAATTTTAGTATGATATTATAAATTTTGGTTATGGGTTTATATGTTTCTAAATTTATTTAATTTCCTATTGTTTTTAATCATTTCTTTGAAGAGAAAAATAGTTTCAAGAGTAATTATTGATTAAATTGTTGTTTAGGAGGTGACAATTGCTCAATATCTCAAAATAATGTCCATATGGGACACAATGCTCCTGTAATTGTATATGCAGAAGCCTCTACTGGAGAGCAGGTTACGCTTGCGAATGTTATTCATGCTGCAGTTATGGTAATGAATTCCAGTTTCTAAAATTCAGTTTTAAAAATGTTTAAAGATATTATTTTCTGCTCATGTAATTGTTAATTACAGACTTATGTGTCTTTAAATTTTAGATATATATATATTAATTTATATTTCAAAATGTAGCATTGATGTATATAACTGCGGTGCATATGTTATTACTAATTCAAGACTGAAAGATAAACCTTGATTTAACTGGTTATAGTTAGCGGTAGCCATTCCTAGTCGATTAAAGCTTGAAGAATCTCCTATACTTGAACCTTAATTGGCTAAAATTGGGTTCAACCATTCCAAGTCTATTAAAACTTGAAACCAATATTATTATTTTGGCAATGGACATTAATTCATTATCAAGTTATTAATCAAAGAAAAAATCCATAAACGTTGGAAATTTCGGCCATGTGTATATCAAGACTTACCCTTTAAAATTAAAAAAGAAAAAAGGAACAAGAAAAAACAACTTCAATGTAAAAAAAGTTGGATGATGGCTTTTGTGCCATTAAGGAAAATGTCAGTGCAGTAAATCCTAATATCGTAGGAGGGTGTTAAGCACTATACTGGATAAGGGTTATCTATGCATTACTTAACAATAAATTGCTTTTATCAACATACATAATATAGCTTATTACTTTAACCAATTAGGATTAATTAGACCTAGTTTTAGTCCTTTTAGATGGAAGCATTGCAGATTCTGCAAGCTGCTAATCACTATTGTTGGTAATCCCTATTTTAACAATTTAAACCAAATTTTAAATTTTATCCTCCATTTTTGCTTTATCTGCAACTTATACTCTAACTTCAATAAAAGACTAGTTAGCTAGCGTTTATATAAAAAAAAAAGTCTAGTGCACTTAATGGTGATATTGTATATAGTTTTCCATGCATTGAAACAGATTTAATTACCCACCTGGTCAAATTTTAAGTAAACTTCATAGAGAATATAGATATTTTTGTATACTATACTATTTTTGTTCAATTTTTTTTCTTCAAGAATGTAGCTGATTCAATTCTGAAATTGTCATGTGGTTCTTGTTCTTAAATTAAAGCTCAAATTTATTCGATGAATATTTAATAAGTTTTAAATTTAAACTAAGAGCAAGCCATGGAGGACAATTTATTTCCTGAACTGCATAATTTTTTTGTTTTAATATTAGGTTTGTGTATATATAGTATGATTTAGATGAATATGTTTTTTGTTTAACTGTGTTGTAAAATTGAAAAAAAAAGTATATTAAAATAGTCATCTGTTTTATTGAAAAAAACAGACTATATGATCATTTTAATAATGAATTTTAAAAATTTATTAATTTCAATACTAATTTTTATAGGAACCAACTCTTGTATCTTTGCCAATTCCTGCTGAAGCACAAAGTCCTAAAACTAGATTTTGTTGGAGTCAAGCCTCTAATGCTGGACAGAATAAAGACATATGGGTGGTTGATAATGTTTTGCTCTTGCCATTATTACAGTCCGAAATTACCCATGTTATAAATTTTAAAGTTAACTTACATTGTGGTGAAAACATTACAGCAAATGAGTAAGTAAATGAGTTTTATTCTGGTTTACAATTTCTATTCTCCTCAGCATTTTGGTTTTATTGCTTATCTTTTGACTTATTCTAAGTCTTATAATTTTTTTATGAATAAACCAGAGTTGGTTTTATTTGATATTAAAATAATGTACTTTTGCTCTTCTCCATATTTCTTAATTTTTTTTGGCAACTTAAAAATTTTATTTTAAAATTCTACTTGAAGAATTCGAACTAAGATGGGTATATGATGAACAAAAGACCAACTTTAACTATTCCCACTAAAAAGCTGATTCTGTTCATAAAAAAAAGTAACATCTCCCCGATAAAGGTTTTTACTGGGAATAAATATTCTGAAAATGTGGTATGACGCTGGTCATTGTATGCCCAATAGAAATAAATATTTGTTGTGTTATGGAAGTTTTCATTTGAAAAAAAAGTTTTAGAAATTTTAAAAAATATATGAAGAAAAATAAAAACTTTACATGTTATTGCACTTTTGTTTAAACCAATGTCTTATAAATACACATTAAAGGGCTAGGAATAAAATTGTTTTATGCAATTTTAAAAATAATTTTATTTGTCTGGAAAAGAACATGATTTGTAACCACTGTTTTAGTTTAAAATATCAACCAATCTTTGCTACAATTTGCTTCAAAGGCTACAAAGCAGATTCTTTGATGCTAATTTGTTTTTTAAGTAGCTTGAATTAAATTTTTTCGAAAATATATTGAAAACATGCATCTTTTATTAAAAAACTAAGCTTTTTTCTTTTTCCTGTCTGAATTTTTTATGTAATGGTTGTTTACATGGATGGTTAAAAGGTTTTTAATGTAGTGTAAATATTATATACGTAGCTGTTTTTTAGAAATTATATTAAATTTGTTTATTGTATTTGTGTTATTAAATTGCATTATCTCCACTATGAGGAAACATTTAAGCACTTTAATAATTTATCTCCCAAAATTAAAAAAATATGGCTATGAATTTTTAAGGAAATTGTTGGATTTACTCATGTGAAGTTAATTTTTATTCACAAGAATGTAAAAACTATAGAATACTTCCTCAAGAAATATATGCAAACTTTATTTAACTTTTTATTTATTGTTAGGTAATTGTTTTGCTTGTTACAAACAAAAAATGTTATGTTTGTTAGGGAAAATTGATTTTTGTTTTGTAACTCTTGATTCATTTACATTTCAGAATTGGTGTGGAATTCAGCACCACAGCAGGTCATAATTGGCATTCACTTCATGAGACGTGTCTTCCTCCTGTCTGCAATGGTAGTTATTCTTCTCTAAATTCTCGTCTAACTTCCCATGATATGAAAGGGTAAATAGTTTATTTTCTTCTAATAGTTGTTTTATATACTTAGATTTCTAGACTTATTTTGTTTTCATCTTTTAAAAAAATTAGATGGAATAAAATATCGTATCCCATACCATATGCTGCACTCATGGATGGTGTAAGATTTCGTATAAAACAGACTGGGAAATATCGGTCTTCAAACTGGGCTGTTGATGATGGTAATCTATTTTTCTTTCTGTTCTTAATTACTTTTAAAATTCTATAGTTGAAGAATAAATATAATCCTAAAAATTAAATCATTATGTTCTGTTTATCTGTTTATATTGGTAAATTTTTTTTTTTTTGTAATTTTATGGATTAATCGCAACTCATGAAAGAATAATCTGGTAAAAGATACTGGAAATATTTATTTTGGTTTTTCTTTAATAAATTATTATAAAAAAAAGATGATGAAGTTAGACATTTTAGAAGTTTATCTTAGTAATGTTATTGCTGGAAAAAAGCTGATCTTTATAAAATTTTCGGTTCTTTTAACTTCCCCCCCTTCTTTCTGATAATAGAAGGCAAAATCCTTCGTAAAGCCTAGTTTTATGTTTATTTTTTTATAGTGGTACATTTAAGAAATTTAAGCATTATTAAATAAATTGTAATTTCAAATAATAATGAAGGATCAAAGTGAAATGGCTTGATTAAAATTGTATTGTTTAGAGTTGATTGCACATTGAATTATTGATGGAGTGAATTAAAAATGATAAACACAAGCAATCGTTCAACATTTTAAAAATAAAACAAATAATAAAGAATGTACTACTTTCATCTCATTTAAAAATTTACAATCTTTATCACATTGAACGTAAAAATATCTTATGCATTAAAGTAACTTATTTTGGTTTGGATAAATAGATCATTTGATAAATTAATAGTAACTATAATTTCATGTTAAAAGCATTATTGAGACAATATCAATTACTTCACAGCAGTTTCAAATTGTTTTTGGCTTAGAACCCCGTGACATTATAAAAAAAAGTTCATTAGAAGCTGGAAATGTACTAACAAAAAAAATAATAATAATTATTATTTTTAAAACATTTAATATGAAGAAAATGAAATATATAATTCTTTTGTTTGGTTATGCTGAAAATTAAAAAAAGTAAGTTAAATGATGGTTTAAAAAAAAGAACTATTATAAACATTAGGAATAGTTATCAGAGAAACATAATTTATGGATTATTAATTGGATATAATTACTGAATTAAAAATATTTGTTATATTTTGTGTAGGTTTTATGATTCAATTTTAACGTTTGCGGTTTTATTATTACATATTTTTTTTTTGGAGCTCCTTTTATCATTAGTTTTGATAGGCAGTTTCATGGTAACATTGGCTATTTTACAAAATTTTTAGTTACATTTAATATTAAGTTATTGTATATCATGCTCAAATTATCCTAGGGATTTTTGTAAAATCAAATATTTATTTTTAATTAAAGTTCAAAAAATCCTTTTAGGTAACTTTTCTTTTGTTTTGTTCTGTCTTTTTAGTAGTTTTATTTTTCTCTATTTAATTTTTCTAGAGTTAATTGAGATTTATCTATGACTAAAATTTTGATTCAAACACTACTCTTATGTTTAGACTTCATATCTGTTTTTTACAGTTTTTATTGGCTATTGTCCTAATGGTTGCAGTGGTCATGGCAAATGCATAAATGGTGGTTGCCAGTAAGTAATGTAACATTTATTTTTTCAATGCTGCTACTTATTTATTCTCTGTCCTTGATATTGTTTGAATTCTATATGTTTTTGGTAGATGTGATATGGGATATTTTGGACAGAAATGTGAATTTGCTTCGGTCACTATACCATCTTATCTGTCAGAGATGTTCCAGTCATCCAATGTTAACGAATTATCTGGCATCGTCAATGTGAGTATTGTTTCAAAGTACCTACTTCAGTGCATTTAAAATCTCATTTCACTTTTACTGTAAATTTTGTTTTATTTCAGTTAGTTGGTGGCAACTTGGGTTATCAATGTGGGTCTCTTGGTAGTGGTAAAGCTGTTGTGTTTGATCATTATGGCCCTCGATATATTATTACCAAAGAAGTAAATACCACATTTGTTAGGTAAGGTTTAAATATTATTTGCTCTTGTCCATTTAAAATTTGTCGGGAAAGAAACTTAAATATGAGTATCAATAGGTTTTTACAGTTTACCCTGCGTATTGGTAGTTCATCTAAAAAGAGTCCATGCTTGTCTCCTGATCACCCATCTGAAGTTGTTTATATTCATTATTCCTGCAACGGAGGACTAACATGGGATTTACTGGAGTATTTTGAGAAATTCAAGTTCCGTGAGCCCAAGTAAGATTTTTGTTAAAATTCCTTTTGATTTTCACTTTTTGCACATAACTTATAGAATTGTTAATAATCTAAATTATGAATGCAATGAGTTTTTTTTTATTAAATTCAAAAGTTTAATTTGCGATAAATTTGTGTTGCATTGTTTTTTTCATCATAAAAGTTTAGTTTCAAATACATTTTCTGTTTTTTTTTTTTAATCACGAAACTTAAATTAAATGAATTAAATCTACAAATTGTTTTGAAAAGTCAATTTTCATATTAGCTCATTGATAAAATTTAAATATAAAGTACAGTACTTATCTTATGTTGAACATTAAGTGAATTATGCAATGTTTGATTTCAAAAGCTCATTTTTTTCTCATGAACTATGTATCCAATGAGCATGATAGTTATGGGGCTAACTGAGCCCCTTACTTCCTTAGCTTTCTGTAACCTTCTTTTAGAAAATGTACTAAAAGTGTTTCCTCTTCCAAAAGAGCTACTAATGCCTTTGAGAACCTGCTATAATTCTTTATAGACTATGCCTTTGTATTGGTATAATTAATGGGCCAGAAAATCTCCATTTGATGGACTTCTGCACTAGATTATGTGACCAGCCATACATTGTTTGTTACGCTGTATTGATTAAACTATTAAAACTTTCTTGCTGTGATAATTTTATTCTGTTTATAATGATTGTGTTAGAGGCATTTCAACATAAATATTGTAGAATGATGTGTATGAGCTATATATATTTCATTCATTTGGTTTAGAATAAATGGTAATATTCTTTCACATTAAATCTATAGCCAAGGCACTTATTTTTTTTTACTGACCAATATTATTGTTAAATAAATTTTTCTCTTAGGACTTAAAGTATGCATTTCATCATTTATTATTATTTAATTAAAAATGCCTTCATATTTTCTACACTTTTTTTTCAATTTTTAGAATTGTTTTTTTAACTTTATCAAATGAAGCAAAGCAACAGTGGTGTATGTTTAAGATTTGGCAACCTTACCACTCTGGAAAATCTGAAGATGTATGGGCTATTGATGACATTAGCTTATCTTCTGCTCTTTTGAATGTTATTAGTCTTAATTTCAGTGACCTAAATGCTATGAATACTTCCATTCGATATAGTTCTGGGATTGTCAAGAAATATTGCAGTTCGGAACAAAATGCTGTGGTGTAAGTCATTTTTTTTCACTTTTTCACTTTTAAATTTTGTTTTAAAAAAAGTGTAAAATGTGATTGATTTGAATTTTAAAAAAAATTGTTTATTTTTTAGACTTTAGAAAACTTTAACGTAAAGAGTTTTAATAATTGAAATAATATAATTTATTTGTAATATTTCAATTATATTATATTATTTATGATATATGGAATATTATAATATTTTTTATTTTATTTTGTATATTTAATTTATTTAATTCAGTGTAAACAATAAAAATTCTCCTGAAATAGAAAAAAAATATGAAACAAATTTTTGGTCTATCCCTCTAATGTTGTGATTTAGTTATGTATTCCTATGAGCAAAATGTGAGTTATTTCCGAAATAATTTATTATATTTGAGAAGGAATAGTTAAAATAAGAAAAAAGAAATATCATTGTAATTAAGAACTAGATAAAATTTAGGCCTTGGCATGAAAATAAAAGCAAGAATAGTAACATACATGTTTTGTTGATAAGATTTATAGATAACATTTGTTTGTGTTTAGTTTCATATTGTATTTATATTTTTTTGAAAAATGTTTAAAGTTGTAGCCATTGTATTATTCAGATGTATTTAGTTTACTTTTTTCTAAGCATTTGAAAACTTAGATATGAATTATTGTTTTTAGAAATTAAATAATAATGTTGCAAAGTTTTTTTTTTATATATATATATTATCAAAAATTTTAACATCCCTCTATGTATCCAGAACACTATAAACTTTAACAAACCTTCAAACTTTAAAAATATTTCTAAACCTTTTATGTCTGAAAATATTGGGCATTTTTTAAATCTGGTTACTATTCTACTTTTAAAAAGAATGAAGAACATTTTGGATGTGAATATGTTCTTTTAAATTACTAATATGTTGCAGTTATCACTTTGTATCATGCATCCTATTACCTACAGCAGTGTTTCCCAAACTTATGACTTTTGTGTACCCTTTCTAAATTTTTCGTATCGCTGAGTACCCCTAATAAAAAAATGAATGAATTTTTTACTATGAAAAATCGCACAAAAAGTAAAAATCACAACTGGCTGTTGACACCACTAATTATTAACTGTTAACTCTGCAAAAAATATCCAATAGAAAAATACGTAATCGTAAATTTTCATGGCTAGCTTTGTTTTTAAATAAAATTTTTTGTAATTTTCGTTTGTTGCAAGATATTTCGCATAAGAACGCGTACCCCTGCTAAACTGTTCCCGTACCCCTGGGGGTACGCGTACCACACTTTGGGAAACACTGNATTTATTTAGAAAAAGTAGTGTCCGGTTTGTAGAGATAAAAAACAACGTTTCAGGACCAAAATGACTGTCCGCGTCCGGTTACGGGAGTGTCCGCTTTGCGGAGAATGTACGTAATGGTTTATTCATAGAAGATTCCCGGGGAATTAAAAATATGTCCGTATTGAGAGGCGTCCGTTTTGCAGGAGTGTCCATAACAGGAGGTTTCACTGTATATATATTATCAAAAATTTTAACGTCCCTGAAATGAAATATGAATTATTGTTTTTATTGAGGGAATGAATTATTGTTTTTGCCTTTGGTTAACTTATGTATTAAAATAAATGCAAAAACAAATTGTTGGATTAATTTACCCCATATTGTTCTTTCATGTTAAACTTTGTTTTTGTTAATACTACCATTCTTATCCACAATATTCCAGGTTCATGCACGCTGACTCATTATTTTGTTATATGCTCATTTTGTAAAAATATAATTTGATAGTAAAAATAATAATCAAATGTTAATTTGAAAAGTTACAGTAGTGTATCCTTCAAACTTTAAAAATATTTCTAAACCTTTTATGTCTAAAAATATTGGGCATTTTTTAAATCTGGTTACTATTCTATTTTTAAAAAGAATGAAGAACATTTTGGATGTGAATATGTTCTTTTAAATTACTAATATGTTGCAGTTATCACTTTGTGTCATGCATCCTATTACCTACAACATTCATCCTATTATTGTAAAATTATTCATCCTACTATCCTAATTCTGCATACTTACCAATGAAGAATTAACTGCTTTTATTAAAATTTTTTATAATAAAAATTCGGAGCTGTATTTAACAATATTTCTTAAAATAGAAATGGATCACTTTGAAAGAAGGATGAGAAGAATTTATCTTGGAATTTTATGGTAATATTATAACTCATTGTTATTGATGGTGTTCTAGGTTTGACGAAGAAGTTTATAATGGAGTAACTAGATCTTTAGAAACTAAATCTATCACCGTTGGACCCTCTTACATGGTGCAGTTTGATTTATTAATGGGTTGTGGCACTGTATTCTCAACAGAGAAAAACAATCAGGTAATTGCATTTCAGATAATTTTAACTAGATTAATCTTAGTTGTTTTTATTTTTATATCATTTAAGTTTTGAATATTTCTGTCAATTTAACATTATATTTGAATAGAAAATCATTTGCTTGCAATTTAGGTTAGGTTGGAATTTTCAACAAATCATGGAATGAATTGGTTTCCTGTTTATAAGCCTTGTTTACCATCGAATGGAAGTTGTAATGGAGTTTTCACGAAAGGAACAGTCTATGATGCAACTGAATATAGTAAATGGAAACGGGTGACAGTCAGCCTCTTACCTGCAACGTGGTATGTAGATAAAGTTTTGATGTTTTGGAATATATTACAATGACTTTATATTTTTATGCAGCTTGTGTTTGGCAAAGAGCAATGAATTTCTTTTATATATTAAAATAACTACAGACTTTCTACAGATATTTTAGATTTTTAAATTTTTATATTTTATATTTATTTCATATTTTAATATCTTTTTAATTACTTATTTTCTTTTTCAATAAAATTAAATTTACAATTGTTTAAAGTTTAATTTCAGGTCTTTATTGCAAGGGGAAAAGAAGCATATAATAGGAAATTAACAGTAATGCAAATTTTAAATTTACACTAATTAAACTGTAAACTAAAATATTTTGAAATTTGCTTAAGACTTTATACATTTAAAAGGAAATCAAAACTATAATTAGGTAAGAATGCATTTTAATTTTCTTTAGTTCTTTTAATTAGTAATAAAAAGAAATTTACAATTATTTAAAAGACAATTTCTGGTTTATCAATGAATGGAGAAAAAGAAGCAAACAATTAGGAGTTAATAATATAATTTTAAAATATCATAAAAAGTAGTGTTATTTATATTTTTAAGTACAGTCAATCTAAAAGTTTTCTTGAAAGACTATATACTTCGATGGTTAAAATATTTTAATTAGAAATTTTGGAAGTAAATACTTTTCTGTTCTCAATCATTTTCAAAACAGGTCGAGCTCAACTAGATTTCGCTTTATCCAACATGAGTTTGATACCAGTGATAATTGGGCATTGGATAATTTATACATTGGACCCCAATGCAAAGACATGTGCAGTGGTCATGGAAGGTGTTCTGATGGCTCTTGTGTGTGAGTGAATAAAAATTTTCTTTTTACAACTGAATATGTGTCATGTTTTAAATTGTTTAGGTTTGTAACATTTTATTTTTTTAAAATAAAAATTCTATTCCTTTAAACCTTAATTGAAAAATATTTTTCGTCTTATTAGAAATTATAATAATCTTATTTTTTATGCTTTAATGTTTTTATACATCTTTTATTTAATTATTTTTGACAAAAATATGATGAATATAAGAAATACATTTTTACTAAGAGAATGATCCGATTCTGGTGATATAGAAACAATGAACGCTTGGTATGTTTTTCTAATAAATAGTAAGAAATGAAAGAAATTAAAGCATATATTTTCAGAGAAAATAGTTTATAAAATACAGATTTGGTAGAAAGCTGCTGTGAGATTGTTTCAATGAAGTGAAAACAAAATTCATCAAAACTGTTGATACTGATTATAAATTTAAATAAATCACATTTTTAAAAACTAAATGTGTTTGTCAAGTGAAGTTTTGAAGAGAAAAAATGCGACAAACTCGATGAATGTTTCGATAACAAAAATAAATAAATAAAAATCATTGATTTTGAATTAAAATTATAGGAAGCCTGTTAGTTTTCTAAACACCAACCAAATTAATTATGCCATAATTTGAAGAATAAAACCAAGAATTAAAAAAAATCAGCTTCAATTTAGTTTAGTTTTATTCGAATTTTTGCATAATGGTGGTTAAATATTTTTACTTATTTATAAAAAAGAAACATTTCTTGTTATGTATTACATCTATCTTTTCCTATAATTGTAGTTGTGATGATGGGTTTTTTGGCAAAAGCTGTGTACCCCAAGATAAATTGAAAAACAAGATGATTAAGAAATTTGAAACTCCTGATGAACTTGCTAAAGCAAATTTTGACGTTAGTGGTGGAAGTGTTATGGCTGCTGATGAAGGATGTGGTCCTATTGGGTCTGGATCTGCACTTTACTTCTATCAGGTATATGAATTTATGACGTTAAAAATAATCTACAGGGTGGAGCAAAAGGAAGTAACCCCAAGAACAGAATTCTTTGTTGAAACGAAACACAGCAAAGGAAAATAAATATTTCGCTAACCTCCTTATAGCAAATGTTGAAAAGGATCACCATTCATCTCTTGGCACTTTTGGGACTTGGTCAATAAGTTGCAGGAGGCAGATCAAATCTAGGCTTTTGGAATTGCAATAATCTCATCAGAAGTGATTTACTGCAGTTCTTGATGACTATGCAGGTTATTGCAATACACCTTAGACTTTAGGGTTCCCAACAAAAAGTAATCACACACTAACAGATCAGTGTCTTGTCTGGGCCACTTTTATTTGCTTCATCCTGCATTTACTTATGGAACTGAGTTTTTTGTGTTATGTCATCGACATTTTGATGCTATGAAATAATTGTTTCATATCCAGTTATTAACAATGTATAAATGTTTTATTTTGTGGAGGCTTAAGAATTTGCATGCTCATGTTTGGCATCTGATGCATAATGCTGACCTCCTTGCCTCTTTAGCTGGCAGCTGTATGTCACTGGAGTGTCTTAGTTTTTTCTTTGTTGAAATAGTTTTTCTATTTATTAAATGGTGTTATTTTAATTGGATTAAAAAGTTTTTTAATTAATCTTTGTATTATAGGATGGAATAAGGCAGTTAGTTACAAGTGATATGAATACAGAAACCACCGATTTTATGCAATTCTTTATTCGTATTGGAGGAGGAGATCCCTCTACCTGTAATAATGCATCCCAAAAGGATGAGGGAGTTCTTGTTCAGTATTCTAATGATGCAGGTATATCTTGGAGTTTATTAAAAGAACTTGATCCTGGAAACTATAGAGCATCAAGGTAGACTATTAAATTTTTATTTTACTAAATTAATCTAATGTTACAATAAAATTTCTCTTGCTACAGTTTATTAAACACGTCTTTAATTTTTTAAGAATTGTTAACACTACAAAAACCTAAAATGGCTATCCTTAGAAATCAAAAGGGGTCTGGGTGGTCTTTCTTAGATTTTTTAAATGTAAGCCAATTAGATAACTAAAGAACAGTTTGCAGTTGAAGTATAGAAACAGTTCACAATTAAGGACTCTGAGAACTGTTTCTATACTTCTATTAACAAACATAAATTAACTGAAAACATTTTTAGAACTCTTAAAGATGTGTATACTATAGAAAAATCCCTTCCACAGAGCTAATATGTTTTTATTTTTATTCTCAATTATTGTTTCATTTTTTTGTTTTACATAATAGCATACCTCTTTTTACATTATTATTTTGTTTAAAATATATATCTAGCAGAGATTTTTAACTGAGTTCTCCAAAACCATTAGAATTTAATAATTTAATTTTCTTTTCTGATTGATAAATGTTTTTCCAATTTTGCATTAAGTCTATTTGATTAATTATCGTATATTTATAGATTGGAACATGTTACTTTACCCCTTACTGCTCGGACTTATAGTACAAGGGTAAGATGGTGGCAGCCCCAGCATTCTGGTGAAGGAAAAGACCAGTGGGCTTTAGATGACCTTTACTTAAATGCAGAATCTTCAAAACCAGAAAATTTAGAAATAATGCAGCAAGTAAATAATAAAATTGTGACAATAACTATTCATTTTCACATTTCTCTTGTAAAGAATTCTTGTGATTTGTTTGTCTTTAAAATATTTATGCATATGTGATTACAAAACCAAAAATATGTCTTTTCTCATGTTGGCAATATAAGCAGAAAAATAAAAGTCTAATCTAATTTGTTTTTTTAAATTTAAGATTAAACAATTTCCAGCTAGATTAGCTTTATTCAAAGACCAAAAATAATGTAGACCGAAAAAAAAATGTTTAGATTTACCTAAACCAGTTTTTAGCTCTTGTTGGTTATATGTAGTTCCTTTTATAGCGTAATCCTTTAATTCTGACTCTGTTGTATTTCCTAACATTACTTACGCACACATAGAAAACATAAAATATTTTCACAATAGCCTTATGATATTTGTTTTGAATAGCATTGCTTAATTGATTCAGCATAACGATTAAATTGTTTTTACTCTGGATTACTACCTCAAATTTAGTTTTTTTTGTTACTATGCATCTTTTTTTTTTTAGCCTTGTCTTTGTTTTTTTTACATATATTTCAATGGTATATAATAAAGCTCTAAAAACTGTTATCTCCAAACATTAAACATAGTGAAATTAAGAATTGTGTAATATTGGAAAATTCTGTGATTTATTGGTTTGGAATAAAAATCTGTATAAATCAAATGTTTTTAAATTATATGAAATTTGTATTAATCAAAGTACATGAAATGCATAATAATCAAAGATTTCACAGTATATATGTATACAGTAAGCTCCCTATCATATGATGTAATGTGGTGAAAAAATTAGCTTGTTAAAAAAAATCATGTGAATAGGATGTAGTTTTACTTCCTACTTACTCTATTTTGATAGTTTTCATCCTTTTATGTAATCTATGGTGTAAATTGATCTTTGTAGTTTTTTAATGTATTTGGGAGGAAATTAAATGTTTTTCAAATTAATTATTAAAAAGATCTAATATTGGGAAAAATTATTTAAAATTTCTATGAAATTTATAAAGATTAAATTAATAAATAAACAATGAAAACATATTGCCCTAAAACTGTTCTATGTTAAGTTTTTTATTGATCAGATAATTAACTTTCACTTCATTGTTTAATATTAGTTTTTCAAAAGTATTAATTACATATACATTTTTGTGTTTCTACACAGTAAAAAAAAGATCACCATAATGCCAGAGAGATTACAACTTTTTTTAAAAATTACAAACATTAGAATGAATAAGAAATTATGGAAAAAGTGTTGTTAATTTTTCTTTTACTTTTTTATTCGTTGCAAAATAATGTTTCGTTTCCTGATTTGTTTGCAGGGTGCTGCACCAGAAGAACAAAAGCTTGTATCTGCTATATCAAAATCTGTTATGCAACATTATTGTAATTCAACCAAAAAGGTACTGTTGTTAAATGGAGGAGAAAAGTTTAAGTTTCTCATTACAAGACCTCTATTTTTGAGGGAAGGCCAAGTTATTATGTTTAAGGTAATATATTTAATGTTTTTCCATTCTTTAAAAAATATCATCAAACATGTTCGCAATTCTTTTGATCGAAAATAGAGTTATAGTTGTTGGTGTAGGCCATTAAGGCTTAGGGGTGCGATTGTTCTTGTTTTCCAGTGGTGCCACCAATGACCAAGAATTCGACTTCTGCCACATCCATACGTCACACCCATTTATAGAGAGGACCAATTCATACTTCCATTCATTAATTTACGGATCGTAATTTTGACCTGAATCAGAGAACGATCAATCTCCAATCCAGAACCTCCAGAGATATTATTTATTATGGGAACATACAGGCCGTTATGACCTGACAGATTTAACATGCACTGGTCAGCATTTACTAAACAGGGAGTCTTCGGCCGTCTGGATTCGAACACCCATTTTCATGAATGTGAGTCCAGCACTCTGCGAAGCACGCTATCCCGGCCATGAAGTTTTAGTATAAAGTGTAATTTGAATCTTTAACTTTTGAAGTATATTTCTGAATATAATTTATTTTTTCTTTATAAAGGTTTTGAAAACTTATAAAAAATTATTTATTTTCATGATTAATTTACCCTACTTATGCAAATTATTGATTAATTTTCTTAATAAATAAGAGAGTTTTCAGGTTTTTATTGATTGAAATTTTTAAAATATCTAGATAAATGTAGGCTGCAGTGATAAATTTGACTGGGCAAGTGCTGTTGAATTGGAATATTCTCATGATAATGGAGTGTCATGGTCTATAGTAGAAGAACAGTGTTACTCTGGTGTTCAATGTTATAGCCATGCCCATGAAGCTTCTATTTATTATTCTGGTTTGTATGGAACCTGGAGACGGGTTCTGGTTCCTGTTACACATCATTTGGCTCAAAAGTAAGTTCTTTTTTTTTTAAACTAAAATTAAATTGTTAGATCTTAAGCATTTGTTATTGTTTACAAATTGTTTGAATTAGTAATTTTTGCGAATTGTACTTCTTTCCCTTATCAATGAAGTATACACAGTGGTCAGAAAAATTACATTATTTTTTCAGTTAGCCACAATTACTTTACAAACGTAGTTTACTATACTATTTTTTAAATGTTGTGACTACAAACTACTTTTGAAATGTAGTTACTACTTCACTTCTTTTAGGGGACGAACTTTAACGGAGAACTTCATTTACATCCATGTTCAAAACGATTTCGAATTAAAAAAAATATCGCTTATTTCAATATGAGGAATTATTAAGAAATGTTTACATGAGCCAGTTTGTTATTCTAAATCATTTTTTATGATAATCTGCCTTGTGCTCTACATGTACTTGCAGATTACTATTGGTGTTTCTTTAATAAAATTTTCAATTTAGCTAAAGAATTTAAAATTGACAAGACTCACGAATCATCAAATGACATACAATGTGGTGGATCTAATGATTTATGTGATTAAGAAGGAAAAGTCAAAATTTTAGACTGATAACTTTACATATGTTATATTTTTAGACTCTGATACTTTACAACAAAGCAAAGTGTAAAAAAAAAGGTTGAAATAGAATATGATAAAGCTTTGTTTCAAATCGATCCTCAATGAACATAGGATGTTTATGAAGATTTTGAGGTTTGTAGTGAACATTCACAGAAAGGTAGATGTGATATAACTTCACAAATACAGACTGTATTTCCGAGTGAATCGGAAGAAAACAAAATTTAGTCGAGAACTTATAAATGAAAAAACTAAAGTTTGGAGTCGAAAAATTTCAGAAAAGGATAAATGCACTTCACTAATTCTTGCTTGTATAAGGAGCCAATAGTTGTTCTTAAAAAATTAATTTCCTTGTTAATAAACTAAACTCTTTAAATGATTCTGATTCAGAAATGGATATTGAAGACAACTGTTCAATTTTGTGCTCATCCTCTATTTTTAGAAACTGGAAAAAAGGGAGATCTCAAAATTTTAGTTGATTCCAGTAATGATTCTTCGTAATCTGTAGACCTTATTTCTAACTAGGTATTGTCTTGAGATGGTGCTTTAATAAAGGATGCAAAATGTGAAAAGGATGTGAGGCACATGTATTGAAAAATAAAGAGTGTAAAACTGACAGTAATGAATTTAAGGAATAATTGTACTCATCAGAGTCTTATCCGTGCTTAAGAGGATTACTTACATCATCCAAGAGATTTCTTCGTGAAGAAAGGGAAGATGAAGCCTATTCTGTTTTGATGAGCCTGCTTTTTGTACAACAAGTCATTCACAAGAAATGTTATCTCGACGTTATGTTTGTGTTTCAACTATCTTTTTAACCTTTCATTTGTTCCAAATAATGATATAGTTGTGGGTAAAAATCCTGGAGTTTTAGTGTTTTTCGGCTGTTTGCTACTTTTACTCGATGAACACAAACTTTCTAAACCATATCATAAATATGAGAGAGACATTGATTTTAACATGTCCTGAAATGATTCGTGCACTAGTTTAAGGGATGAACGAGAATGGTGGTGGAGCACCCTTAATATGTTAAGACACAATACTTGGGTGGTATTTTCTAATATATCAGGTCAATTAGATCTGTCACCATTTCTAGAGGAAATAAGCCTTCCTATTTTGGATGGTTTATCGCACTGGCTTATGTGCCCATCTTATACTTAAGATTTCATGTAATCTTGTTGCTTGTTAAAAAAAAAAACTGCATTTTGCATTAGAAAAATTTGACTGTAGTTTATAATGCGACTGAGATTACTTTACTAATGTTTATGTCTGCTCTTTGATTTTTATTGCATCTCAAGGAAATAAATATTCAATTATGTGTAATAATAAGCTTCCTGTAGAATGAAAGAATTAACATTTGTATGTTTTATTTCATTCATATAAATGTATGTGAAAAGCATTATTTATAATTTATGTTTACCAATTGCAAATAAACAGTTAAACACCCACATTTGGGCTTTTCATATGCACATTTTCAGGTTAATTGAGCAATTACTGTTTTTGCTTTCTTAATTATTAATTGTAGAAAAGTTAAAAATTTATTTCCCATTAGAGTGTTTCGAAAATTGTTTATATAGAGTAATGGGTATGATATGTGTGTCTATAAATTGACAATTTTAAATATGTGTATAGTTTTAATAGATTTTGCTTAAAATTTTGAAAATATGTACTGATTAGAATTTTTGATTAAAACTAGCTTAAAATTTTTAAAATAAAACTGATTAGTTATCAATATCTTTATTTTTAATTATTATTATAGTAAACTTTTGAAATTATTTTTTAGACAAACTTTACTAAGATGGAAACAACAAGTCCAGATTTCTGGTAAATTTGGTCAGTTAACACCTTTTGCTATTGATGAATTTTACATAGGCTACCCTTGTCCTTTACATTGTTCAGGCCATGGTATGTGCGAAAATCAAATCTGCATTTGTGATCCTGGTTATCAAGGTAATTAATGTAATTAAGCTACAAGTAAACTTCTAAGTAATGATTTTTATTTCTGACTTGTTTATTCTGGCAAGAACTTTGTCTTAAAAAAAACTAATATATGTATTAACTGAGTTGTTTGAAACAAAATCTAAAGTGTATCATATCAATTTGAAGATAGTTTAGCCATGCCTTCAATTTTTAAAACATTCATCCGGTTAATAAATGTATGTGGTAAATAAAAGGAACATTTCTTGAAGTGCACTGCAGGATTTCTAAAAGTAGCTGCTTTTCTTTTGTAAGAAAGAAAGTAAGAAGATAAAAGTAACGGCTTTTCTTTTGTATGTAAGAAGATGACTTAGCCAGTGATCGCAAGCGCATTGTTTAGGAAGGAAACGGGTTCACGTTTTTGCTTCCCTGTATTGGTACCTGAAATAAATAAAACTTCTTCCATTTATGCCTTTCTTTGTATAATATTGCTCGCTTAAACAGCATAAAAAAAATTTTCTCAGCAAAAAGTGTTCTCGTAACAGAAGAAGGCAAGTAATTTTTAACTCTTTTAAACATAATGCTGTCTTGAAAATTTATCCTAATACCATGCTTTTTGTAATTTGTCATACTCATTATATTGAGCTTTTCTTATATATATTAAAAATTTTAATATTGTATAATTCATTTAAATGAAATAACATATTTATTATTAAGGTATATGTTATAAACATTTATATACCGCATAAAATTTTCTAATTTCTCAACCCAATTTATACAATGGTAAAATAATTCGCTGTTTTATCACAGACAGACAAATTTAGTAATTTCAAGTATTGGCATACTTTTTATAATTGCAAAGTTGTGGCAGTTAAACATTATTTTGATTAGTTTGCTCTTGATCATTAACATACTCTCTACAGTAAAAAAATATTTTCAGCCTAAACTATTTAAATATAAGTAAAATTTTTAATATTTCTAATACAAATAATCCCAAGGTTGAGAAACAATGCTCTAAGGCCATTTATTTCTATAATTTTTATTTTAACACAATTGAATTTTTCTGATTTTATTTTCTACATTCTTTACATTCTGCATTAGTACTAATATAAAATAATTATGCATTTATCTATTTTAAATATTTCAATAATGTCAAGACATTGTAGATGATATATCATTTGTTACTTGCACTTTCATACTTGGTATCAGTATCAATCTCAATTTAGAGTTATTGAGATGAAGAGAAGGAGGAGGAATATTTACATTTTAATAGTTAATTTCATATTATAACGGAGCTTAAAAACTTGAATTTGAAATTTCAGTCTCATGCTTTTAAATGCAAACTATGCATTTGTTAGCTTTCTATCCTGAGTGGTCACTGATTGTATTGATCACATTTTTTATATTAAACACACCTAAAATGCAACATATCATAGGTTGAAGTTTGATTAATATCCCACTAACCATGAGATGTTTTTGTGTTATAACAAAAGATAATTATTATGCATAATTTACTTTCATTCTAATGTATTCCTTTTATAAAACAATTTTGTCCTAATACAAAGTTATGTACCATATGTATCAATGTACTAGTCAAACCCCCAAAATTTTCAGAAAATCGTGGGGTTAACTTATACACTAGTGATAAAGCTTAACATTTGTTGATCTTGAGATATTGAAAGAGATAGATGAATCTGTATCAATCTATGTGTATATGTATTTTTAATATGTTATTTGCAATTAATTATGCATTTCCTCTTTTATTTTCTTTACATATAAAGGTTTTTTTTAGAAACAAAGCTCTAAATTACATTCAGAAAAAAATTAAGAATAAAAAAAGTTAAGATAATTTATTTAAGAGTATTTCAAAAAAATGTTACTCAATGTGTTGGATAACATTAACAGTATTGCTATACAGATTCCTCTTCAATGGATTGTATTTCATCCTCATCTGCTGAGTTCCACAAAAAATTGTTTTTTTCCCCATTCAAGGAATTCGAAGTTCCACACTTTTAAAAAGGTTTTTTAATAACATTTAAATCAACATTTTGCCTTTCATTTAGTATTATTTGTGTCACATGACATTTATAGGAGCAGCGTAATTCCTATTTCCCATTTTTGCAATAGTTTTTTTTCTGTTTTCATCAAGCATTTATTCCAAAAAAATTGAATTTTATCCTTGAAGGGTATTTTAGTTATAGAAATTTTCATACTTGGTTTTTTAAGTCATCAACTTATACACCCGGCATACCAGAAATCTTCTATCTTATAATGAAAAATAATGAGACCTACTTAAACAGCAGGTCAATTTATACACCGATATATATGGTAGTAATTGATTTAGGTTAGAGTCAACAGGGTTTTTAAAGGGGACAATTAATTACAATAAATTCACTATGTGTATGAGAAATTCTTTCACAGTAACTAATAAACATTAAATAAAATTTTTATGTGTGTAATTAAAAATATTTGGCAGGTCCTACATGCAGCAGTATTCAACAAAATCCTGCTGGAATGGTTGATCGCTTTGACGATACATCTGACATTTTTACCAAATGGGAGGTATTTGGTGGGCTGCTTGGTCTTGGTTGTGGAAATCTTTCTCTAGGAAATTCCCTTTACTTTGGCAAAACTGGCTATCGACTTGCTCACACTATGGATTTGGATACTTCAAACTTAAAGTAGGTTAAATTGTCAACTTCATTTGTATGTGTATCTTTATATTTGTTAACTGAATTTTGTATTGCAACAAGCACAAGTTAATGTTATTTTAAAGAACTTTACAGTTCATTATTCAGTTGGGAAGCGTTCAGAATACAGCAACGTGCCGAAGACCTCTAAACCGTAAAGAAAATGTGTTTGTGCAATTTTCAACTGACCACGGACTCACATGGAATACTCTCAGAGAACTTGATTATGAAGTTTTTAGTCTTAAACCAACATCTGTTGAGTTGCCTTTTCCAAAGGAAGCAAAATCAAGCAGTACATCTTTTAGATGGTGGCAACCAATGGGAATTAGAGGTTTGTACAACTTTCATGGATAAGTCAATATTAATTATTATGTATTAACATTGTATTGTCATCGAGTCTGTAATTTATCAACCTTGAGAGACCACCTAGCCAAAGAAGATTCAGAAATTTTTTTCAAACTTTTTGTTATTAGGAGATAGAGCAGAGTTTGACAAAAACTTTCCTGAACAGCAAATTCTTCAAAAAAGCTACATTAAACACGACAGACTATTACTTTATTAGATCAGTTCTTAAAATTAATTTTTTTGTGATACTTATGTAATTATAAATTTATAAAACGTCTCATACATTTTTCATTATTGCTACTAATTTATTTCAAAAACTTTTTGTTTTTAAATACTGTCTAAACATATAATAACTATTTTACTAATGAGAAGTGTTAATAATTTTTTTATCCTATAGGGAAAGAAAATTCACAATGGGCCATTGATAATATTCAAGTTCTTGGAAATCACAAAAATGCCAAGGGATTCCAAGATAATTTCAATCCAATTACAATTGAAAACTGGTTTTTGACTCAACATGGGGCTCCTAGAGCTGGCTGTGCAGCCGCTGGACGTGCATTAACATTTGCTGCTGATCACAGTATATCTTTTTTACTTTTGTACTTTGTTTTAAACACTGAATATTGTTTAGAGATGAAATTGTCATATTTGTGTTATAAATAGGATTATTGTTAAACTACTTTTTATATATTTTTTTAAATTAATAATTCATAAAATTTAGTTGTAATGACATATAACTAGATATAGTTCTCTTTGGATATTACATCTGTACCAGTGGAATATTTGTGGCTAATGATAATAATTATATATTATTCTGCATTAAAATTGACAAGAAGTATATAAAAAGCTGAAAAAGTCAATAAGTGCTCAGGCTCAGAAAATTGTAAGAAATCGTATTTGGTATGCTCAAGTAGCAAAAAAATGGATTTTGATTTGATATAAAGCAAAGTGATGAGGAGAAGGACTATCTTTCAATAATTATATCTATTGCAATTGGTATGTGTAAATCCCCATGAACTAAATGAATACAACATACCGCCTTGGTGTATCAGTGAAGGTAGAGAAAAAAATTATTAGATAATGATAAAAGAAATAGCCGAAATAATGCAAGATTGGTCGCTTTTAAAAAATCGATTAATATGACAAAATTTAGAGTGGTAAAAAGACAATGAGAAGTTTTGGCCTGACTGTGAAAGAATACCGATTTGATGCTGGTTGTGCCAACAATATTGATCCACGGCTGCAGGTTCATGGTCAGATTAACGAAAAACATAATATATGACTGATGCACCAGTGTAAATCATCACTAAAAAATAATGATGAAGAGAAAGAACTTTTGGCATGTTCAAACTCAAGCGCAGACACTGAGCAAAGTTTAAGGAAATTTAAAATTAGTTTCTCATTCGGCTTGGTTCAATTCTTCATCACAAACTGGTGACCCTTCTCTATTCGACACAGATAAGTTTGGTTATTCAAACAGTAATTATAAGAAGTAACAAACAGTAACTATCAGAAAGAAATTCATACCAGAAGTGCTTTATGGTTAAGAGCATTCTTTTATTATGAGACTTCACACTTCGTCGCTTTGAAACTAAACCATAGTAACTCAAAAAAAATCGAATAATGAGATATTTGAGTAATTTTGTGTAAAAAAACGTGTTATCTTCATAAGTTCCATAAAATTAATTTAGAGAGCAGATGAATCGTTATGTCATTGGCGCGATTCGCCATCTTGAAAAGTTAGAAATCGCTCTCCTGAAAAACTTGCTTTTTTGAGTTACCATGGTTTAGTTTCAAAATGACGACTTGTACTGCTGGTACCATCATGAACAGAGGGAATAGTTTACGCATACAGGAGCAAATAGACAGATCCCAAAGAAAATCTAATGTTGAAAGATTTCAATTTAAAACTCCTCCTTCATGAATTGCAGAACGGAGAGAACATTTTGTGAAACATCAGAAAGGTCCAATCATCTAATCATCTCCTTTAATTTCAACCGAGGCAATGACTATTCAAAGATTCCTGTAACATTACATCTATTTAGTCTGTTTTTCCCCCTACTAGATCAAAATATGAGATGCATAAAAAAAATAAGGCAACGGCCAAAATCATGGTCAAATAAAAAACGTCATGCCATATAGATTTGCAAAAGGAGTTTCGTAGCAAGTTCCAATATGGTATATTTGCTGACGCATCAGGAAAAAAAGGAACCTAGCACTGTTATGAAGAGTCTATCATCCAACACGACTTGGAAGCAAGTGACTGCAAGCGCGAAGAAAGTCTCCATGAGGGATTAGTCACCGCTGATTTGATGAATAAAACTGATGTGTAAATGAGTCCTGACCAATCAGAGGCATGGACATGCATATCTTTCCAAATAAGGCATTTAAATACTTGCTACCCCATCAGGGGACTGTCTAGGCCGAATTTACTACCGTTTAGCGGTACCTTCACAAATTCAACTTTAGGAAAAACGGTAGTTTCACAAATTCAATTTTAGGAGAAACGGTAGTTTCACAAAATACTTATTCTTAAAATTTCATTTTTGTATCCCTTAAGAAACGATAAATCCATATTTTTGTGTTGATTTTTTAATATAATTTTTAATTTTTCACAAATTACGTCTAAATTTTCACAAAATAGGTACCTGTCAGAAAAACCTAGACAGACCCCTGCCCATGCTTGCAAGGACGATTGCATTTGAAAGGGGATTGAAGTTGGAACAGGTCAGATATGATCCCCAAAAAGGGTGAGCAATATCCTCTTGAGAGAGAAGAAAAAAATACAAGACAAAATTAAGAATCATTCTAAGGGGAGTGAAACTGACTCTGAACGACAAAAGAGTGAATTCGTTAAAAAATTATGAAGAGAATTCGAAAAAATAACCATCACAGGAAGAAAAAAAAGAGCTGAGATAAATTAAGTGGGGGAGAATGCAATTAAATGGAACGAAGCTGATGAATAATCACAATTGATTTACAAAAAAAAAAATGAAATTAAATTAAATATAGTCACATATCACTGTGATAACATAATTTTTTTTTCTTCTTATGCTTATTATCATGAGGAAAATGTATTGCTTCTTTATTTTAAACTATTATTTAAATCATCTGAAAAGTACTGTAACTGAAATGATATTTGAAATAAATAATTCTTAAATTTTATTTTAAGCAATCTGAAAAGTCGTTTTTTATTTTTTTTATGTATATGAATCTTAATGTAATTATGTTCAGAAATGAAATTAAAAATAAGTTCTAAATATGTAATTAGAAAGCCTATTCTAAAGAGTAAAATTCGAATTAAAAGGCAAGGAATTGTATATTTTGTACTTGAATTTTCTTTTTATCTTATAATATAATCAAATTCTTAATGTTTTATGTAGAGTACAAAATTTTAATCAAAATTCTTTTATTCTTCACAATGTTTTTTTTTTCTCAATTTATGTTTGCTTATAAAGTGCAAAATTTTAATTTCTTCTGTTTTTTAGCTGAAGAACATTATGCTGAAACTTGGGACTTTGAAATACATCCTTCATCTTTCTTACAATATGACATCAATCTAGGTTGTGGGTATCATGTCAACCCATTCAATGTGCGTCTTGAGTTTTCTTTAGACAAAGGCCGATCATGGTCACTCGTGGCTCCTCCATGTTTACCTCCTGATGTTGGTTGCATTAGTTTTTCTTCCGGAACAATACATTCTTCTGATCAATATAGTAACTGGACTCGAATTACAGTCAATCTTCCGCAGAGAGCACTGTACGTTGATACCCTGCTCTTAAAATTTTGATTAAGGAAGTTTTTTGTTTATTGTGTGGTGGAAAATATTTTTAATAATCTTAATATATGAAAAATAGATGTTTTTATTCAATCATATAATAGTTATCAAACTTTAGACCGTTCATTTGTTGAAACTATTGGGACCATATTTTCCAGATTGCGGATAACAACCTATTTCGGGATTCAACAATTCAAATTTTTAGAAAAATAAGTATGTTTATTCAGAAAAAGAACGTTTTTGCATCTGATTTTGTAACTTAAAATATTGTCTGCGTAAAAATGCATAATTTAGGTTTGGTACTCAATACATTGAAATTGATTCCTAGCATGTGAAAATAGTACAATAATTTAATCAAAGTTATTTAGACTTTTTGAGCTGCTTTTTTCAAAGAAAAGGTTAACTTTGACAGCATTTTAAGCATTTATTAACTTTTTTTTTGCTGAGGTTTTAACTTTGTAATTAAACTAAGATAAAATTTTTCTTTAGTTTCGTACCTTTTGTTTTACCTCTAAAAAGTAATTTAACTTTCTTTTTACATTTATGGAAGTAGCTTATCTTTTTAACTCTATTTTCATAGATGTCTGGAGCACTTAACAAAATGATTTATTTGGAACATACTTTGATCTGAAGCGTTATTTTTTAATGAATATGTATTTTTTATTTATTAAATACTTTTCTTAAAGTCTCGTTGTCATATAATCATAAAACAAATATGGGATGTGTGTTGATCTAATGGTAAAGCCATGGATTAATTTATTTTAATTTGTATTAAAAATAAAAAAAACTTCTTGACTGAAAAAGAAGCATTAAAACAAATGTTTCAATTTTTGTTGTAATGGCAAATTTAAACTGTAGTCACCTTAATTCCAATTGTAAGTTTCAAAATATTATTTATTTATTTAAAAAAAAAAATTCTGTTTGCAGTTCTCCATCAACTAGGTTTCGTTGGATTGAAACAATGAGACATTCTGGCCATGCATGGGCTTTGGATAATGTCTATTTAGGAGATGGTTGTCCTTGGATTTGTTCTGGACATGGATATTGTGCTGGAGATAAGTGTGTGTAAGTAATAAACAAAATATCCATCTGTACTTGTTTCTCTTTAAATAAATAATGTTCACAGAAAATTATAGAAAGACTATTACATGAAAAGAGGATGCTTACTCTTGAAAACCAGCATTATATTTGTTGATTGGATAATACTCGTTACCTATTTTTAACCCATGGAAACAGTTCCAACATTAATGGAAGCATGATTTAAATAGTAACCTTGAATTGAACCCTATTCTTGGTTGGCACTCCTTTCTCTCATTTAAGCTCTAATTAAGCCTACACTGCTTCTTAATGCATCTCTACATTGAATTCCATTTCATTTTTCTACTTAAAGTAACACAATATTGAAATTTTTTTAATTTATAGAAACAATTGCTTTTTAAATTTTGATGTTAAATTTCTTTGTTAAAACTACAAATGTTTTAAGGTAGAAACATATGCGAGGAAAAGCTTTCGAAAGGTAAGATAAATCTAATGCTATTGGGACTTAAAACTTTTAAGCTATATCTGAATCAGGCTATATGATATTGATTGATATTATTAGGGCTTTTTAATGTAAAATGTACCTTTATAGAAACTTACTTTTTAACCTTATTATGTGTAAATGTTACCCTTTTCAACATTATGGAAACACTAAAACTGCTATATTCATTTAAATTATTTATTTTTTCAAATGCTGTATATATTTTATGTAACTTCACTATTGCTTTATGTTTTTCAAATTTCGTAAGGTAAACATTTCAAATATCCAATCAGGTGTGATAAAGGTTTCAAGCTACCTTACTGTGTACCTGAAGATCCATTGCCGTGTGAATTACGTGATAATTTTGACACTGGTGCATCTAACATGACTTCATGGCCAGAAATATATGGTGGTGAAATTAGCACCCGCTGTGGGGTGTTGGTTAGTGGTTCAGCTTTAGTGTTTTATAAGGTATGTTCCTTGTTTTATTTTTATTTCAACAAATTATTAAATTCCTTATTCCTTGTTAGAAAAAATTTAAATAACATAAATTTAGATAAATCATATAAATAAATATTGTAATTCAAGACTTCCTTAAGGCTATTTCTTAGTATTTTTGTACCTCAAATGCTTAAAATTGATACATTGTCTACTTAAAAACTAAAATTATAAAATCTATCACTAACTACACGTAAAAATAAGTTAAGTTTTTTTTGTGTTGATGGTAGTGTAATTTACTTTGTTATAGTTAATATTCCTTTTTATTCTTTTAAACTATCATTAATATTTCAGGAAGGAGTACGGATGGCAGTCACGCAAGATCTGGACCTAACAGCTGCTCAATATGTGCAATTCACTCTGAAATATGGGTGCCATAATTCTGTTCCAGCCACTGTCACACGGGGAAATGGCATTCTTATACAGTATTCAAACAATGGAGGAATTACTTGGCATTTATTAAAAGTAATTAATATCCTACAGAAGATATTTATACCTTACATTTAAGACTGTTCTTTGAAGATTCTGTCATCATATTTAATAATGCTTTTTAGAAAATATGTCACTTTCATTTATTTTTAATTATGTAGCAGCTGTTCTTGACTGTTTGATTAAGTTTTGTCCATCTTTAACCAATGCTTGCTATGCTAAGTATTAAAATGGTGCAAATATCAGTGTGAAGAAAAAGCCACGGATTTGTTAAAGTGAAAAGAGTTTGTGATTTAACATTTTAATGTTCGAAAAGTTACCAAACACTTCAGTTTTAGAACACCTAAAAAATGCAAAAATGGAGAACTACCCAAGAATTTTTTAAATTTTTCTCTAAATGGGAAAAATACTCCAAAATTGGGAATTTTTTAAAAAAAAGTTTAATAAATTATTAATAACTATTTGTCCAATTTAAAAGCCTGATAAAAAATTTCAGCAAGATAGCTCTAGTGCGACGTAAATTAACAACAACAACAACAACTCAAAATTTCGAAGTGGATTGGACTAAGCCTACCTCAAACTTTCAAATTATCAGAAACTTAAAATTTAAGAAGTATTTAAATAGATGGAAACAGAGCAGTTTTTAAATTTCAGTATTTAATTGAAGAAGAAAAATTACATTAGATGATCAGGGTAAATTTACTGCATTATACCAAGTTACAATATTCATTACATTGCTGCATCAAGTTAATTGTACTTTAAAATATTTGTCTAATGTTTTTTGTTTAAACACACTGTTCACATGTTTCAGTGTTTAATACACAAATTTATTTTTCAATGTTCAGTCGTAGTAATCGTCGCAAACAAATCTTAGAAATAGTTCCACGTGTTGTGTGTGTTGGTCATTATTTAGGTGCTCTCATTTATGGGAAACTGCAACAATTGAGACTTGAACTAATGAGACTCTACTGTATACTAGTTTAAAAATAAAGCTTTGCTTTGAGTTTAGAACACTAAAACAGTAGCTTTTTATTTTTCTTCACTAAAGACCTTCAAAGAAAATACTTTAAGAAGAGGATTGGTGTGATTGTTTCCCTAAATTTTTCAAAGTGTTCTAGTTCAACTTAATTGATATTACCTACTCAAAAACATATTTTTGCATGAATTTTTGTGCTAAAACTATTTTAGACTTGCTCCAAATTTTCTTTACTTTGTTCCAATTTTTTTCTTCCTGTTAATTCACTTAATTTGCTTCTACATAGACAAGTTTTGCATATAAAATTACTTTAAACTTGTTTTAACTTTGTTCAATTCTTTGTAGTGTTCTAAAATATAAATTTTACAAAAAAATGTTCAATATCTTCTTTAAACCTAAAATCGAAAACAAGTATTCAAAACTTCTTTTTAGAAGTAAGGGATGGTAAATTTCTAATGATATCATTGATAAATTACTCTTTCTATTAAATTAATTGAGTAATTAAATTTATTTCTTATAGCTAATTTAGGTAGAGAAACATTGTTATAAACTACTCAGTAACTGTAATAATGCTCTACAAGTTTTACCATTGCAATGTCGGCCCCAGACTGAGTTTGGCGTGGGACATGGTTACAGAGAACTAGTTTTTACCATCTTATTCGAGTTTGAAACTGTGCTCAGCTGAGAAATTTTTGTATAAATTTGTCTATATTAGTTCAAGAGTAATGCATAAAAATTTCATTAAAAACCAAGTGAAAATTGTTGCATAAGATATACATTTTCTGAGACTCAGTCACATTTTTGTAATAGAATAAAGACTTTTATTGAAGTTGTATGCATTTTATCATTGATAGGAACTACATTTTTCTGCTGAGACATCACCGCAGTACTACATGATACCCCTGAAAGATCCTTCGGCTTTAACAAATTCAACACGATTACGATTCTGGCAGCCTCTAACAGTTGGTAAGATAATATGATTATGATTTGTTTGTTAAATAAGATAGATTTTCTATGGCTGTTTTACTAAATAAATTATTTGTTTTTCTCACATCCAATTTCTTAAAGGATTTTTTTTTATAGAAATAACTTAATTTTTTACATTTAATATCCTGTTTTTTTTTAAATTTTTACACAGTTGCAATTAAATTCTCAGCTAAAACAATTTGTACTCTATTTTTTTATTTTTTTGTTTGAAAATTTTTCTCAAATAGTTTTTTTTTGTGTTAAGAGTTTTGCTTTTTCAATTGATTAATATAATTCTCAGATAGTCTTATTATTCAATGTATTTTAAAAGTTACATTGCATTCATTCATGGTGAAACATTAGTATCTATATATTTAGAGTGGAACCCCAATTTTGCGATTTCCGTCTAACTAGCGTTAAAAAATCCATTTGTAATGCATTAGAGTGAACACTGTAGAACGCTGTGGAAATCAAATTCAGAACTTTTAGATATTTTTTTTTTTGCTTTAGAAGCATCTTGCAGGTCATCAGAATCAATAAAAAGAAATAATTGCTTAACCAATTCTTTAGTGTAATGTACTTTAAATGATTGAATAATTACAAGATTAGATAGTTGAAATTTGCTGGAAAAAATTCCATTCGCAAATTTTACAGTTTCAGCTCCCATACTTTCTTCCTCCTTTCACAGACAAAAGGACAATAATATAGAATAGAAAGCTATTAGATAATAAAATAGTAGAAAAGCTTATAAACAAGTCTCCTTTTTTAGAAAAGAAAAAAAAGTTGTATAAAGCAGGATTTTCTTAAAGAGGATAACATAATAACTGAGATAATTTTACATTATAGGTACAGGCAATTTTCACAGACCAGTAGTAAGTGACATTGGAAACAGGATAACGAACAACATAAAACTGGGGTTCCACTGTATGTATATCTACATATATATACACTGTCAAACCTCTATTTAACGAAGTAGCAAAATCCCCATAAAAAGTTTGCTATATGAAATTCGTTAAATAGAAAATCACCATTTGAAATACTTAAACAACGCAAAATAGGTTTCAAATTCATAAACACTAGACATAATTAAAATAGCAATTGTAAATTATTATCTGCTGTTTATTTTATAAATCTTAAAGGAAGTCTGCATGGGAATTAAGAATAGAGCAAAACATTATCCAATATTACACTATCATGCTACATCAGTTTTCCCATGGTCCTTAAAAACTGCTTAATTTTTATTTTGGGAAATAAGGGCCCTTAAAAGTACTTAATTTTGTTATAAGGTTTTTAAAAGTCCTTAATTTTTTAGCATCACTAAGGATAAGCAGAATGTTACATAAAAATTTAAATCTACTCAACTAAAAGATCCTTAGGTTTTAATAATCATTTTATTCAGTTAACATTGCAACTTAATATACTGTTTTTTAATTTTTGTTAAATTTTTGGTTGCTGTAAAATTTGTTCATGTTTTTCATCAGAATGTTTAGTAACATTATGCAAAGTTAATTCATAATAACACATTTGGCTGGAAATAATTTTGTTAAAGTTCATCATAAAAGTAATTATAACATGTTTGCTGGCCTAGTAGCGAAATATAAAAACTTCCTGTAATATTTTTTCAATGTTTTTGCCAATTTTCTTTATTTACTTTTTTTTAGTATACATGAAAAAATTGCAAATCTTAATTTCTGCACACTTAATTTTACAATTCAATTTCAATGAAATCATTAAAAATGGAATACAGATTAGTTTCATATGTTAACTTTTATAATCTAAATGAATTTAACTTTTAACAATCTGAAATTTTTTCCTTCAAAAAACCCTTTTTTGCAAAAATAGCCTGGTACTTCTTTGCCCAGCTCTGTTAATTAATACAATTATATCAGTGCGTACATTATGATAAAATTACTTATTATTGTTTTTTTTATTGATGTTTTTTGAAGGGTAAATAATTGGCACTGTCACTGGTTGCATAAGTCCTTAATTTTTCAAAAAAGTGCTTAATTTTTTCAATAAAAAGTCCTTAAAAGTGGTTAATTTTTGCTTTGTTAAAAGAATGGGAACCCTGTACATACATCTTCAACTAATGAAAGCTAAATATCCTGTATGAAATGCAAACAAGGAAAAGAATTCCATTGCTTTCTCTAAAAGTTAAGTGGCTGCGAAAATCAATTTAAGGTCATTATCCCCATGCGTTAACAAGCTTAAAATGTTCTGAAATATTTTGAGATATAGGGAAAGTGGTTCTCAAGGAAAAGTTCGTTAAATAGAAAATTCCCTATGCTATTTAAGTTCTTTTACAATGAAATTTCCAAATTATTCTTGGTTTCTCGAAAAAAATCGCAAAATAGGGAAATTCGCAAAATGGAAGTTCATTAAGTAGAAGTCCAACTGTATATTGCATTTAATAAACTAATCCTTAACACTTGCAAGGCTTTATTTTGAGAATATCAACACTTATGTTTATTTTTTTAGCTTCACACAAAACTTTAATGGAAGCAAACTCATTTCACTTATCAATGGTTTCATATAATTATTTACTTTTTTTCGTCAATTTTCGTAACTTATGTTTTGAAATATGAACTTTAATCTCTTATTTTGTACTGATTGTAATAAATGTTTCTGTTACTATTTGATTAAATTTTACTCTTTAGTTTTCTATTAATAAGCCTTGAAACAAACTTGTTTTGCAATTATTTGGTTTATTTTCTAATATTTTATTTTGTTGCTGTCTTATTAAAGAAATATTTGTATCATTTTAATTTAAATTTTATGCGCTTTCAGGTACAGATATCATGCAATGGGCCCTTGATGATTTCTTTGTGGGAGGAATGATTGTAAAACCTAATGTTTTATATGATCCATTAATGCAAGTTCCTCAACCAGATGCTTGGCTCTTTTGGCCTGGCGGTGTAATGGGCAATTTCTGTACCAGGTGAAGTGAATTTTTATATATATATATTTCTGTAATTTTTATGTATTTCACCGTGTCACACATTTAACTTTTATTATTTTCTTTAAATAGTGAGCCCAGATCTGCCCTAACATTTTTATCTAGTGAAGGAGAACGTTCATTGTATACAAGGGATATGACAGTAATGGATGACTATGTTATCGAATTTGAAGTAAAATATTTTTTAATTAATATAATGTTTCTAATTTAGTTAAAATTCAATAAATTATATTCGATTAGTAAATTATATTCAATTATTAAATTATATTCAATTAATATTATGTTTCTAAGCTTTCTTATCAGAAGAAATACTTTTCCTTTTGTCGAAAGTCGTGTTTGGTTTCTTATTTTTCTTTGCATAGCCCACTTTTGCTGGTTAATAGGTAGGAAATTAGATAGGATCTGAAGAAAAGTATTTTAACATGGCTTTCTGAAAACTTCCAGTGTGATACTAAGTATTAATTAGAGTGAAAGCTTTATTCAGATTTTTTAGAAAAGGTCTTGTTCTTGCAAATTTCTGAAAAATATACTCATAATTTTGTGAATCTGAAATTAGCATTACATTGGGTGCTTTCTGCAAGGGTACTGTTTTTATAAGTTTGCAAAAATGGTTCTAAATTAAAAAGTTATTTAAACATAACAGTAAGTAAATGTAGTAGTAAATAGTAATTTATGAAGAAAAAAGTTTCATTTCAAATCAATCTAATTAAAATGGCAATCATATCTCAGCTTGTGGTATTGATTATCTGATTGTACTGAAATAAAAGGCTTAGGTTACAAAATAACAAAAATCATAAATTTTCTAATATTTACCAGGTGGGCTTATGCGATCATGCATATCCTCACAATGTGCACTTTGTATCATCTATGTAATAGTATGTGCGAAAAATTTCTTTGCTTGAGAATTGGTTGTTGTAATGGGGGGAAACAGGGGGGAAATAAAATTAGAACTATTGCATACAAATTTAAGATGCTTCCAATTGTAAAAATCATACTTGTTATCTTATATACCAATAAAAATATTAAATTAATTTAAAACATATTATTTGTGAGTGGTAACTTTTATTTGTAAACTAAAAATCTTATTTTTACTGAAAAAATAACTTAATGTTTCACATATGTTGGTAAGTCATTGATCCAACGTAAAGTGAGTTTTTTAAACTTTTTTTTTCCCTGTGATGATCTTCTATTCTCTAAATATTTGAGGACTAAAAATAAGTACTAAAAGTACCAAAAGATTAAAAATCCACTAAACAAGAGAATACTACATTTTGAAGTGTTGCTTAAAAACAGAAGTAAAAAAGTGAAATAGAAAAGCCTATAAGTACCATACAACAGATTTTTAAATTTTTGTTCTCCTGAACAATTTTTATTATTTTTTTTAAACTTCAGTATTTTTCCTCAATCGTGTGAGTTCCATTATGAACTGGTTAAAGTATATTGTAACAATGATCATAATCTTTTTCACTCTTTAATTGAATGCTTCTTTATTACAATTCAGATTAAAGTTGGTTGTGGAATCACACTATCACCAGAAGATCCTGTATATTTGGAGTATTCATCTGATCAAGGAAGGACTTGGGAAATGGTTAAATCTTCATGGCTTCATTATGGCTCTGGTCCTGATGGCATTATACAAGCTGAAACACCATCAATCTATTACAGCAACAGTCATCATGAATGGCAACGAGTAATTGTTCCTCTCACTGGTTTGAAGATATGTGGGTAATTGGAATTGCTGTAATTTTTTTTACTTAAAAACTATATATATTTTTATTTAAGTTTTTTTTTAATGATATTCTGATTGAATATTTAGTTTCTATGCATCTTTTTTTTATTTACCAGTTTCATTCATTATTTTTTTTTAGCGAAAATCTCTTTGTTCAAAGTACTTTAACCTTTGTTTTAATTTTCTCTTTCAAAAAATCTAATTTTTTCTTGGAATTTTTACATGTTTGTCAAGGGATTGACATGTCTTGGGAAATTCACTTTTGGATGAAAATTGTATACTTTAATTGTATACCTAGTGTACCTAATTGTATACCTTAAGGGTGTTTACCAATTAATATAAAAAAGGCACTAGCCAGCCAGTTCCAGAAACTGCACCTGAAAATTTAAGCTCACTTTATAACTTGTTAAGTGTTCACCTTTTTATCTCTTTGTGGCAGGTGGGACACCGGTATCCCTTTTTAATACTTCTGGCACTCTAGTTACAAGTAAAAATATATTTTGGTATTTTTTAATTATAAAAAACTATCTAATAGTTACGAAAATCTGTTAGATTCTTGAAATTATATTTGTTCTAAAATATAAAAAAGTAGTTTTGATTTTTTTTTCCATTCTTATTCAAAAATTTATCAATATTTAATTTTGTAAACTTAATAAAAGTCTATGATGAATTATTGTTTCTCTTAGATCAAAATAACTGAAAATAAGTGCAAATTTGGAAAATTATTGTTTGAAAGTGAACCATGTTTGGAAAATTTTACCTTAAATGCAAAAAGGGACACTGGTGTTCAATGCTATATTTCATTACTAAAAATTATTAAAATGCTAAATAACATATTTTTCACTTATTTTGATTTAAATTCATACAAACTAATGAAAAAAGTATTAAACCTCAAAATATCTGTAAATCTGCATCAAAGGATTAATCACACTGTATGATTAAAGTATCTTATTTACTCTTAGGAGGGGTAAATACACTTAGAGTAAACTGCTAGTATAACAAGTTTTAAAATGAGTTTCCAAAGTCAAGGCTTTCCCTTTTAAGCAAAACAAATCAAAATGCTCCAACACCAATGTACTTTAGTTTTTTTAAATTATTTTGTAACATGATTTATTAAGTTCGTAATAAAAATTAATAATGCAATAGTAAAGGTATAAAATTAAAAACAATTTTTTAAATTTTCAAAATATTTTAAAATTTGTTGCGACCACATTAAAAGGAAGTCAACACAAATATTTGCTATAGAGCTATTGACTTTTTATGATCTATCGTCATTTTATCAAACATATTTGTTCTTTTATTAGCAAAAAGATTAAAATCTAGCTTATTTAAACATTAATTTTTATTAACTTATTAAAAATTGTATTGTATATATTTTCCAAATTTTTAAGGAGAACTGAGATGGTTAAATTAAGCTTCTTTGACACACACAGTTAAAATATTTATTTGACATTACACTTTTGAATGAAAGAAATGTATATAACTGGCTGTATCAGTCTGGTTCAAAGTGTGACTCTAAATTTTATCTACCACAGTGTTGACAAAATGTTCTTACTTATAAAATTATAATAAATATTATAGCTTACTTTTGTCAAACATTTTATTTATATAATTAACTGACGTCATTCCCGCTCCTAAGTTTTCTTTAAAATTCTAGCCTAAAAAGTTAAGCTTTAAAGAGCATATATATCTATTAAATGGTGCTAACTGCTCATTGTCATTGATAAAATAAAATTCTTTGCAAGGTTTGACTATGATTTTTATTAAGATATTTATTTTTTTTTAAAAAATCTTAAATTTTGTCAATTTCTTTGATAATTTTTTGTTTTTTAAAACAGCATTAAATTGATAAAGCTTTAATCTATATTAAATAATTTAATGAAGTTAAACAGCAAATATACTGATTCAATGAAAGTTGTGAGTGGTGATCATAGCTAAAAGTTCTAGGACCCTTAATATCCAACTGAAACAATAATTGTGCACCAAAATTTATAAATTGTATCTTTACTTTCAATCAGTTTAAAAATTTGAGACTTCAGTTTAAAAATTTGATTATTTATAACCCTAATAACTTTCAATAAAGACTATTTTTTTTAAAATATTGAGTAGAATCTGCTTTTTTTTTAAAAAAAAACTTTTATTAGTCTTACATTTGTAGAGATTTTGTGATCTTCTATAATAAGATGGTTTTATGTACTCTAGAAACGTGCGATTCCGATGGACTCAAGGATATCACTCTCTGAGAGACTCTCCATCTTCGTGGGCTATTGATAACATATACATTGGACCTTCTTGTGCTTTACATTGTATGGGACATGGGTTTTGCATTAATGGTGTCATGTGTGAATGTGATGACAACTATTACGGAGATTTTTGTCAAAGTGGACCTCCTAATCCTAGTTTGTTGAAAGATAGATTTGATGGTAATTACTTCTTTCATATACAGACATGTTTAACTGCCAGCTTTATATTTCTTGAATTTATTTGATGAATATTAAATAGCATCATTATCATTATCCACTAAGAGTTGTACTAGTTTTAAAAAAAGTATTTTTGCGAAATGGTCAATCATGACAGGGGATTTTAATTTCTCTCTCTTTGTAGAACTAGCTCTAACAAAAATTAGTTTTATATTAAAAAATTAGCTAGCTAATGTTTTTTTGCTGTTTTTACTTGATGAAAAACAGAGCTTTAATCAAATCATGAGTATAAGTAGAGAGTAGTTTCTTTTTATTTTATATATATATACATATATATTGTTATTATATTGTTAATTTGAGACATATTTTTTTCATGAATTAAATAATTTTTGACAAATGCCTAAATGTAGATGTGGTTTTATTAGACATAAAACAATAAGAAAAAATGCAATAAAAAGGAAAAAGCAATAAAGGAAAAAGTGTAACAATTTTCCAAATACTATTTCGTATTTAATTTGATTTGGAAACTAAATAAAATGTTTCAGTATCAGTTATATGTTGGGAAGTTTCTAATTGCCACAACCATAAAGATTTGAGAAATACCAAGAATTAACCATAATGAAATATATTTTTTACCTGCTCATCTTCACCAGTAATATAAATTAAAATAGATATGAAAACATGCAATACATTATTAACTTATCAGAAAACAATGATACTTTACAATAACTCACAAATAAAAACTTTTAAATTTTTTCATAGTTTAGAAATTTCTTTATCATTATAGAAATTTTAATTTTGTACTCGAATGGATGGTTTTTTAACTATACTGTATCTCATACCTCATACAAAAAAGAAATTGTTTTTTTCTATCTTCATTGCAATGATGTGTTACTCAGTCCTCTAATAACATGTTTAGAGTTTCTTTTTATTTATTCTTCACAAATTATTTTCAATGCAGTCTATTTGTGTAAATGAATTATGATTGCTGAATAATATGTGAACAATGCAGAAAAAAATTATGAAATTGGTGTCTTTAGTATATTGTTTACTTAAAAAAAAACTAATTTCATTTTTTTTTATTTCACTTCACAGAAAATAAAATTGATTCTAAAAACTGGGAGGTTTGGAGTGGATCTGAAATATCTTTGAGCTGTGGCATATTGATCAGTAGTACTAGTTTAGTATTTACTTTCCAAGGAGAAAGAGTCCTCATGTCTAGAGATCTTGACTTGACTTTTGTAGGGTGAGTTAATCTTCTTTTTTACAACCTATATTTTCAAGTTGATTTATTTATTTAAAGGACTAAAAAATAAATTTAATAAACAATTATTTTCATAAATGGGATTTATTATTGTGCATTTCCCCATACCAGAATGTTTAAATTTATCTAAGTGGCTAATTTTTTCTCAATCCATTTTTAAAAGCAAAATAAAGCATGCGTATAAAACCTAAAAAAAGTTATTATAAGCGATGTTTTGCGAAATTTTCAGCCTTTCTAAAAGGTAAGTTTTTGTGTTCATAGAGTCTTTTGAAAATAGTCTTTTAATATGTAATTTAACAAACTTTTTCTAGGTATGAAAAATAGGCCAAACTTTAACCCTGATTTTTGTTTAACTCATTAGTTGCGCTGAGACACTTATGCCGTGTCTCAGTTTTCCATGCATTCTGGCCACAGGAAACATGTGTTGTCTCAGGCAAAGAATATAGAAAAGAGAAGAAGTCAGGCTCTTCAAAAAAGTAACTGACACGGGGAACTGCTCAGTTACTTAGTTGAGGAACTGCTAAACTTATGTAAAAAAAACACTATTTCTGATTTATACTTGATTTTATTTCACAATTACCAGTAATATCGGCAGATAAAACGACTTGGCACAGGGTGCTTTTTTTTCAATATTGTGGAAGCTAATATGTTAATACTAGTTTTATGTAGTTTCTGTTTTGTAATGTGTATTTTGCCCTTTTAAAATGAAAATATAACCAATTTTTACTCTTCATGACGATGAAAATGGTAATGAAAAGTATTATGTAAGAAGTCTAAAAAGGAGTATGTTTTGAGTTTGATAATAAAGCTATATTGCAATGGTTGCGAAATGATAAACTCAAAATAACCTATTATAGTTCTTCTTAAATAAATTTTAGTATGAAAAAAACCTAACATGTATGATAAGTAAGTATGAAAGAAGTGATATCAAAATTATCTTTATATGGTTGCTAGTAGCTAGGGGTTGTTAATAAAAGAAACAACTAATTTTTATAAGCTTACGGTGTGTAGAAAGTGTTTAAAATTTTATTGGATTTTTAAAAGACTCTTGTTAGCGATTACAAAATTACTTATATATATTTTAAATTTGTGCTTTTAATTTAACACGCAAGCATTTATAATTATGAATTGATTTAAAGACACAAAATGTTACAAAGAATGAAGATATAAAGTGCTGAGCCGAAATTATTAATTTTAATTTTTGATCCTCCTATTTAGTTAAATTTTAACCATTATTTGCCATTTAATATGTAACATTCATTAACGCAAATTTGGAATACGTTCACCAAATGATGAAAGTTTGAAAATTGTTTCCAGCTCTATACAATTTTACTTGAGACTTGGTTGCAAATCATCTATTCCATCAGCAGAGGAACAGCCAGTTCTTTTACAATATTCCATTGATGGTGGTTCAACGTGGAACATGTTGGAGCAATTTAGTTTTGGTGAAAGTGCTCGAGTATCTCATCCCTCATATATTGCGATTGAACTTCCCCACCATGCTCGCACAAATGCAACTAAGTTAAGATGGTGGCAACCATCTTTTGATGGATCATTTTCAGAAGAGTGGGCTTTGGATCAGGTAATATTTATTTAGTTTCATTTTTATATTTGATATTTTAAAGATATGATTTAAAATGAGATTATGACAAATATTTTACATTTTAAGTGAATATTCTTTAAAAACAATTTTCAGCTTTAGGTAGTCCAAGACTAATAAATAATAATAGGTATTTAAATAAATGCCTCACAACAATTACAAAATTATCATACTTCTGATGTTTATATTGTATACATTACTTATACATATATATATATATATTATTCCATCATGCATCTACTTATAAAGCTAAATATTTTTACAGTTACAATAATGTGATAAATCATTAATTCTCGATAAAATTTTTTACTATTAACAAAATTTTAAATTTTATTTGAAATATATTGAACTTTATTTAAATTTATAGTTAAAGAATCATATGAGGCAGTATAAAATAGAATTTAAATTAGCAGCATTTTAAAATAATTTTGTAAAAAGAGATATTTCTAATTTTCAATGTTTGGTTTACTTCTTTATTGTTTTACTATTTACATCTCAAACTATTTATTGAATAACCTATTTTGAATGCTTCAGATTCCTATAACTCTTAAGAAAACATTGAAATGAAAATATTAGTGGAGTACATGAATATTTTAAAGCATGTAGTTTTAATTTTAAAATTAATTATTATTCTGCGTAGAAGTAAAGAAGAAGTATATACTTAATTTAAAAAGTCTTTTAGCATTCAAAAAGCTATTCTATGTATTTATTTATTGTGGACGTAAGAAGAAAGTTGACAGTTAGTCTGATAATAGCAAGTGAATGAATATTGTGTTATTTTCTTCTACTTTTCAGGTCTCTTGCCATAACAACAGAACATAACAATTTGTACAATTTTTCTAAATTAAATTTTTTTGCCACTAATCAATGCTTTGGAGGATTTTATGTGCAACTTGCTAGTGGTGCTGTTTCAATAAAGTTTAATTTAAATACCAAATATATTTCTCATTTCTTATTAAATTTGAAAATTTTTTTCAGGACAACATTTTGGAAAATAATGAGTTTAGTCTAAGTAAAATTTCACATGCTGCTGAACATTCAGTACATGTTTACATGTTAAATCTGTAAATATAATTTTTCATGTTATATAATTAGCTTTAAAATTTAAAATAAAGGTAGACTTGTTGAATTATGCCCAAACTAATAAAAGGATTATAAATGTTTCCAGGTGTTTATCGGAGGAGATGCCAATGGAGTTTCGACATTGAATGATGACTTTAGCAGCACGAAAGAAGCTAATTGGGTTCTTAACCCAGGAGCAAAGCTTGAACCTACGTGTGGAAGTAAAAATAATTTTCTGCATTTCAAAGGTAAATTTTGTTTCTACTATTGAAATCTAACTTTTGTTTTGTTTAATTCATTTTTAAAGTGAAATAAGTATTATTTTGTAATACTTATTTGTATGAATTATATAGGGGCAGATGATAGAAGATATGCTGTTACAACAGATGTGGTTGTTAGTGAAAATACTTACATTCAATTTGAGCTTGTGATGGGTTGTAAATCAAATTCAGCAACTTGCTATGGTAATAAATTATTTTGCATTTTTCATTATTTCTTTATTTTACTTCTATCTCTAATATCAGAAATACTTAAAAGATAATCAACATAAGAAAAAGCATAATACAAATGTTATAAGTCAGTAAAGTGCTTCATTACTGTCACTGAAAATCACAATTTTGTTTTCTTGTTGAATAATTAATTTTATAGTTGAGTTGTTTCTATAATTAAGTACCATTTTTTGTCTGATTGAATAGCAATTTTTTCTTGAAGGTTTTGGAACATTGCAATAATTTCCTTCATAACTTAAGTATTAGTAGGCATTTTCAAGAACAAAAAAAAATTCTATAAATAATAAATTGTTAAAAGGGAAATGGAAGCTCGATAACTGAAAGATAGTGCTTTGTGACCGACCACAGGCCACAGATGTAGGGTTCTATCCTCTGACCAAGCATGGGTGATTAAGCCTCTCATCCTTTTAGTAAGTCAATGAAACGAGTGCCAAGCTTGCTTATAGACTTAACACTGGAGGTTCTGTGTTCGGCTGACCACCCAACTGGAACATCTGCTCCTGCATCCCAAAGCCCTAGGTCAAGAAAACTTGGATGTGCACTGTAGGCTTTGGCCCTCCATAGGTTGTTGTGCACTGAGTATAGTTTAGTTTGAAAGGGAAATAAAGATGTAGTCTGAAGCTCTAAACCTAAAATGTTTTTTCTTCTCATTATTTTCCTGAAACAAAAAATTCTGCTTTGTCAGATTTCATAATTCTCTTTACAATAAAATATTGAAACGTTAGTTACACTTATATAAGCATCGTTGAATTTATTCTACACTAAATTTATTGACGATAAATTTTTTATGTAGTTATTTTTTTGTAGAAATCTTACTGGAATACAGTATTGATATGGGAAAAACATGGGATCTCGTTCAGCGAGATTGCTTGCCAATGAATGTGGATTGTGCTGATTACTTTGAGGGCAGTATCTATCATTCAGATATGTATGACGATATTACTCGCATATCTCTTCCTCTACCTTACTATACAAGGTAATTGTATTCCTTTTTATTTATTCTCCAATTGTTTTCCTTATTTTATAAATTATGTTTAAATTTTTTTTTATATATTTATACATAAAGTATTTTTATTTTAAGGAACAAATTGCACTATTTGTATCCTAACATTATTATTTTATAAAAGTAAAAATTGTCCATAAATTTCATGAATTATGTATTAAGTTTTTTTTTGTTTCATATGTGAAGTACATATTATTTTAAGAATCAAATTGGACTTCTAATATTTAAACATAAATATTTTTTATGAAAGTAAAATGTGCTTATTTTAGTTCAAAAAATTCTAAATGTTAGCTGAAACTTTTAAATGCTATGTTATTCTAAATGTAAAAATTTCTCTAAGTTATTGTGAATAATAAATACCATTATAGAATATTTGCTAAATTCTTCTATATTATGGTAAAATTTTATTTTAATGTTCTCTGTGTAAAATTTGGTTTCTAAAAGCACATGCTTTTTTAAGTTGTCTCTTTTGTTTTATTTATCATCTTATTTTATAAAATTGTGTATAAGGAAAAAAAAAGCCCTAATAATTTTTTTGGAGGAGATATGATTGAAATTTATTTATTTTTTAGAATCGTTAGTTATATGTATAAACTATAATATAGCATGTATAAACTATATATCCCATTAAACATTTGAAATATAATTTGTATGTATATTTTATATAGGACACAGACTACTAGATTCCGATGGATACAACCACTTGGATTTAAATCCTCACAAACTTGGGCCCTGGGTCACTTATATGTTGGTGAAGAATGTGAGAATATGTGCTCGGGTCATGGAAAATGTAGCTCTGGTATTTGCAAGTATGATCCAAAATGTGAACCTCTCACTCATTGTTATTCAGATACTGAAACATCTACTTGTTTAAGCTGTTCTCTGCATTTTTCTGTTGTCAATCACATGTTAGCTTAGTAATTTTCTGCTTAATAATTTTCAGTATTTGAATACTGTTACACTATTAATTATGACCATCATTTTAAAGGAAAACACCCTAATAAGGGAAATTTGTCATTCATTTTTGCAATAATGAATTCCCTTTTGACTAATAGTTGATGTAGCTAACTCATGATGTGCTTACAATTGTGGTTTAGCTATCTGCTGTAGTTTAGCTATTAGCTATCAAGATTCAAAGTATCCTGAGTTATATGTGTCTCCCACATCACCTATTAATCAACTGCCGAGTTGAATGCTAACTGTTTCTGCTTCTTAAATAGTGTAATTAGATTGCAATTTACAGTGTTTATGTTCAAGTTTCCATATAATGTTTTAGTTGTTTTTGTTTCATTCAGTATCAGCTGAAGTTTCTTTTTTATTTTTGTAAATTAGTTTAGAAATGAAGATATTATTAGGTTAAGATTTGAGTAAATTGTAAAAGATCAGTGAAGGAAAAGATTATTGCAAATTTTAACAAGCCTCTTTATAAACATGTCAGATTTGTTTGTACTGTTAAAAGTATGAAATAATGTACTTGTTAAAAATTGATCATGTTTTTTTTAAAAAAAAATTCATAAATCTATGGAAAAGAGATCGGTCAGTGTTTTCCCAGATTTAAATTATATTAATTTGAACCATTATCCCTTAATTTTGCTGAAATCTGCTTTACTGCAATTTACTTTTAAGGAACTACATTTAACATTAGTTTAATTAAGAAACGAGGTTTTAATGCAACAATTTTTTGAATCTGATAAGAACAAATTTTCATGGGTCTGCCAATGTATGGAATGAGAATGCCCTTGTATCTAAGCTTCAATAAAAATTACACGTGTTGCTTCAGATTAGCGACTTTTTTCTTGATAAGTTTAGCAGCAGTTGTCTGTGACATACTTTTCTGAAAATCTTGCAATCAAAATAACTTTTGTAATTAGGTGTCTCCTTAATGATTTATGAAAAAGGAAATGTATTTTCTCTGTAATTTTCGAAGTAACGATGTATTCGAGCATATTTTCTGTATATTTTTTAAACACTTAACACAATTTCAAATATTTGATAATTTTATAGCACTTCTTCAATTAAATATTTGTAGTTGAAAAATGCATGAAAAGAAGGTTGAAGGAACAAATTCATTAAAAAAGTTATGAAATAACAACATTTGAAATGTTTTGCTTATTTAGTTTGACTAATTTCAAGGGAGAATTGATGTCAATTCTTTCAAATTTATCAGGCTGTTTAAAGTGTAACTACTTATAAAATATTTTAGTAATCTCCAAAATATCTTATTTTAAATGAATAACTGTATGTTTTACCCCAATTGTTTTATATTACTCAATCTCATTCGTTTGTTTTTGTGTTTCAAATTGATTCTTGTTGACTTATGTTTTAAACTGCAAGAAAGTCTTAACACAGTTTTAAAATTTTCTGTTGATCTTCTTTATAATTTTTATTCATTCACTTAATAAATGTTATTATAATTATATATAAAAATGAGAGTTTTGTATGAGAATGCAAGCTTGAGAGAAGTATTTTTTTTTATTTAACAAGTAATGAATTTTCCCCTCTGTCGAAGGGCATTAGTAAATGACGTAGTTTTGAAATTGAAGAATTATTTATCTTTATTACAGCAATTATGACAAACTTATTAAGGAATCAATTTTTTTCCTCATTAAAGGTGTGATGATGGTTGGACTGGTGGTGATTGTGGAGAATGTAAATCTTCATTGCCAACAGGATTAAGAGATACATTCCAAACAGAGCCTTCCTCTAGTAAATACTCTTTAGTTGTTGGAGGGATGTTATCTGAACTATGTGGACCTGTAGCATCTGGCTCTTCTTTGCACTTTTATGGAGTAGGTTATTTTATTTATTTTCTTGCCCTATCAAAACAGTTTTCAGCAATATATTTATAAACTTGTTTCCTTGTTATCAGGTTGCTATATATGAAATGTTGGATTCTAAAGCAACTTTGTTAATCTTTTTTGAAGTTATACTTCTTATGCGACTTCCAACAAGGTTGCGTTGAATGTTTAACACTACATTTTTATTGGCCGGGAAATCATGTGGTAGGATCCAGTTTTCCCTCATTCATTTCCGTATTGTTTTGGTTCTCACTAGCATAAAAGTCATAAAAGTATTGTTTTTCTGTAAATATTTTTTTAGTTTGATTTGATACACATATAATTTAATAGGATAGTATTTTTTATTTTCAAATTTAGTGGATAACAATTGTAAAAAATGAGTGAAAACAATCCCACGGACAATGCGATGGATTTAAGGTTATGTTAAGGTGCGTCTCTTGTGAATATCAATTGATTGTTAGGTTTTCTGTTTTGAAATTACATTACGACGCATTCACATACATTATTAATACAAATACATTTTCAATGGCGAGACTAAGGCTCCTATACTATCAGAGCTGACCTATCAAGCAATATTGGAGCAAACAAGTTCCCAAGTTAACTGTTAACGTTATGTTAGTATTGTGCTTTTGTAAGCTCTTTGCTCCAAAAATAGATGATGAGTCAGCCTGTCTAATTCAGGGGCTCTAGGCGAGAGGATAAGCACTTCCACTGGTTCAAGTGGTCCACGAGGGAAAAATGCACAATATTACCGTTATTACAGAGCAGGGAAGCGAGCGAAGCAGGAAAAAGAGTCATTGAATAGAACTAGTGATCCTTCTACGACTGCTGATTCTTCTACAATTAACGCGGCAGGTTACGAAGTTTAACTTCTTTCGCACCGAGGGACTCCACACACTATTTTTTTTATATATAATTATAAATTGATAATTTCAGGTCTATAATTTTAAGTAATTACTGTAGCAATACATTTTTAACAGTAAGCTTTTATTCTTTTCCTAATTCTCTGATAATTTCTTGAATGGGCAAATTTGTTGAATGCCAATATAATATTTTTTTGAATTAGACCATGATGAAAATAGGTTAGCTCTGATGCATAGCAAACTGTAAGACCTTAGTTAAATAATTAAGGGAGGTTAATTATTTTAACTAAAGTGTTTTTTTTAGGCATACATGTCTTTCAGAAGCCAACTTTTTAGTTATTAATGTCAATAAATGTGTAATTCTTATTATGCATTTCTATAACTGTTAGCAATTATACTTTTATGAATATGTTCTTGCACAAATATTCTTTTTACAGAGTTGCAGTCGTCAGTTAGTAACTAAAGATCTGAATCTAAAATCAGCCACTATCATTACTTTTTATTTCCGATATGGTTGTATATCACCACCTACTTCTAGCAACAACACTGTTTTTCTGCAATATTCATTAAATGGTGGTATAACATGGAAATCATTAAAAGAGTTGTATTTTAAGAGCTACATTTATCCCAGGTAATATTGTTTTACAGCATTATTTTAAAAACAGTATAAATTAGTTACTTGTTCCTAAAATCAGTTTAAAATGTAATCAGATTTTAAAATTATTAGCTCTTTAAAAGCTTATTTTTTATCATAGTTTTCTTATATTTGAAGATAAGTATGAATAATTATTCTAAGGATTTTGTTCTTCAAAAATTTTCAATACTGAATTAGATTCAATACTGTATTATAAGATTTTTTAGTTAAGACAAGTTTAAATATTTGGAGGGAAAATTGGTTTTTCATTAGGAAAAACACTGGATTAAGAAATATCTTAGGGATCTGGTGAAAAATGTATGCTATTCTAACTTTTAATAATCATTATAAAATGATTTACAATTGGAAAAACTATGTGAAAAATTTGATGTCAGATTCTAGAATTTAAATTTTATAGTTTTCAGTTTGAAAACTTTTTTTTTCAAATTAAGTGCTTTTATTTTTGATAGAAATCTGTTTTATCTATTTTAAATAATTGATATTGAAAATTGTATTAATTTATATTGCTATTATTTATGCCATATTTTTATTATTTATACATTGTTGTTAAACATTATAAACCAGTCCTTCTGATTTTGCCCAACTTTTGATAACTTTTCATAAGTTTTTTCATTCATGAAATTATATGATGAAACAGTTGTAAAATAAAAAACCATAACAAAATCTTTAATATAAATATATAGAACTGCCAATAGGAAATAAAAAAGAAATTTCATTTTAATTGAAAATGTAAAAATGAGGATGAATATGAAAATTATTTTATTTGATTCTGAACTTAAAATTTTAGTTCAGTTTTTAACCTGCTAACCAGGCTAAAATTTTTGTTTGCCTCGATTTTCATGAAAAATATTAACTATTTTTAAAATGTTAACAGTTGTAGGGAAAAGAACACTTTGGTGACTAAAACTGTAAAAGAATGTAGGAACTGAAAAAGGGTAACTAATTTATTGCAAAGTAATAATATTAACTTAAAATTTTGTTACCATAAGGTCTTAATGGCTTCAGTATCATCCACATAATTGAAGTGAAAGCCGTTGAAATAAGAAGTTAACATATTAAAAATGTTCCCTGTACTTTTAACGCTTCATATTTGTATACCACTGTCTTTTGGCACAAAAATACCATCTGTCAGCCCTTGTGTCACTTTGTAACTTTCAGCCTCTGTTATTTTCAAGTTTTACTCAGTTATTCTAGAGTAAAACATTGCTGTCCTCAAGTCAAATTCTGTTTTTCTTGAGTAAAAGTCTGTTACTTATTCACCAGCGCTAAATATTTGGTCCCCAAAAAGGAGCTGGTAAGTAGAAATTTTGCACCCTGAATTAGGAAGTTATTTTAATTTTAAAAGAAAGGTTATTTTTATGGGTAATAAAAAATATATTGCAAAAGTACTTAATAACTTCAAGCTTTATTTGTTTTAAAAATAATAATTTTATTTTTAGCTATGTTGTTGTACCTTTAAATGAAGAAGCAAGAGGAAGTGTTGTCCGTATTCGCTGGTGGCAACCTCATCATGGTGGTAGAGCACAACATGACTGGGCTGTTGATAACATATTTATTGGAGGAGAGTTGCAGGCACCAGAAAAATATCTTTCACTGGAAGAGGGACATTTTTTGGTTGAGAGTGAGTGGCTGACTGCCACTCATATTGCTAACGAAAAATACTGCCATAGTAATCACAAAGTGGCTGTTGGGAAATCCATAAGCAATGAAAATGCCATCATGGAGACTATTGATATTCACGTGAAAAAACATTATGTACTGGAATTTATGGTAAGTGGTATTGGAGATATTGTTTTGTGTACTTAAGTTTTTGTTTTAATCACTATTTCAAATTTAAATGTATGCTAATTTGAAAAGATACCATAGTAGCTGAGCTCTGTTGATATGGTACAAAATTTTTGTATTTGTGTTGAAATGTCCTGTAAGAATTTTTACATTGAAAATTTAACTATTAGTAAAAATAAATATATTTATTTTTTAATTAAAATAATTTTTTATCATATTAAATTTTAGCTTATTTTATATTTATGCTATTGTTATATTGTTGTTTAGCTGTTTCAGTTTAATTGAATGTGAGAATGTCATTTCTAATCTAGCTCTCCGTTGGTTGTAATGAGAGTTGGGAAGATCCAGGTGTACCTGTTAAACTAGAATATTCTGTTGATTTTGGTGAAACTTGGCAAGAAATGAGTAAAAAATGTCTTCCAATGGAACTTTCCTGCCCTGGCGTGGCTCAATATCCATCCATATACTTTGCACCAGTTCCTTGGCAACGTTTTATTTTTCCATTGAATGGAGATATTATCTCTAAGTAAGTTCTTTAAGGTACTTAAAGTTTTTAATTTGATGATCTGAATTGCTAACTTTTCCATTAAAAATGTTTCATGTTTCATAAAAGTTAGTGAGATGAAAATTAATGAGAGTTTATTATGTTAATTACAATAAGCTTATTGATATTATAACATTTAGTTGTGTCAGAAATAATATTAGTTCTCATAGAATTCCTTTTTGACAAATTCAAATAATTTAAAAGATGCAATATGAACCATATACTTTGCTGTAAACTTTTCCCTTCAGTTATCAGAATTTTTACCCGCTTTTGCAATACGTATGCATCATTGTTCAAGAATCAAGTATATATTTAACTCTTTCATGTTTTTTCAAATAAAATTCCTCTGTCTGACCTGCATAGCTTCTCAGATTTCTGAAATTCAATTTGAGAAAAACAGTATAAAATCAATGCCTTTACAAGAATTTATTCATTTAAGGGGCTGTTAAGGATAAGACTGTCAAGCTATTGCTACATTGCTTCTCAATAATGTTTTTTGAACGTGCGTTACTGTATAATTGTAAAAAAATAACGTTCTTTACAAGAATACTGACATTGATATTGACATTTACAAGAACATTGAGATTGTTTTATGAGACTTGAAATTTGATTCCCATATATTAGCAATGATATAAAATTTCAATTTCTTTTCTTAGTTAATATATTGCTTCATTAATTTTAAGATAGGACACATTTGTGCTTGACAACAACTACTAGTTTTTTCTATGCTTGAAGAGAGTTGCCTCTTTTCAATAAAATCTGGTTTCTTCTCTCTTTGTTCAAAAGGAAGATCATTTAATACAATTATTTTTCAGAGTAAAAGTAAAGCATTCACCCTGCTGTGGGCCAGGGAGGTCATGGTGGTTAAGGTTCCACAATTTTGAGACTGATAACATGATTGCGGCATTGTGGTCAGCACTGTGCACTGGCCACCTTTATTTACCAGGCAAGCTGGTACCCATCAATCTAAAGCTAGGTGGCTTTAAGGTGTCACTGGGGCTATCGAACCCCAGTTCTTCAAAATGACAATTCTGTGCTTTAACCACTGAGAAATTGTGGCTCTTTTTCCCAGATTATTAGTGTTTATACATCATTTGAACTGTCAAAATTCTTCTTTGATTTAACTGTGACGTATTGGTGTAAAAAATTGTTAATGTAAACAAGCTATTCCATGAATACGATCAAAAAATAGTAATTTAATTAATGCTTTAGAAACTTTTGATTTAAAATTTTCTTGAAATTAAATTTTTTTACAAAACCTATTTTGCATTCAACTTTATTTGTGTTATATTTTCTTCAAAGGTGGACTCGATTTCGGTGGATGCAAGTAGCTACCCAAGATGCAATACCTTCTCATATGTGGGCAATCAAGGATGTTTATATTGGCCCACAATGTCCCCATCATTGTCATGGTCATGGATCTTGTGTTGAACTAAAATGTAAATGTGACAAGGGATACCTGGGAGATATTTGTTCCAAAACAGAAGATAGACCTGTAAGTATATATTCATATACAATGTTGTTAAACTATATATTTATAATATGTTTTTATTGGAAAGGGTCAAGAATCTGATGATAATGCATTAGTATCTCCTGACAGTTATGCATTTTATATGTATGTTCTATACATTTTATATGTCTGTTCCTTACATTTATTAATTGCAATATATTATTTATTAATTGCAATATCTGATGATATGATAATGCATTAGTATCTCCTGACAGTTATGCATTTTATGTGTGTGTTCTATACATTTTATATGTCCTTACATTTATTAATTGCACTATAATTTGTCTTATTGTTTACTTGAAATTATATTTAAATAATCTTTTAAAAAATCTTTTTATTTCTTACTGAATTTGCTTTAAGAATTTAGTTCTTTATTAATATTTTATTTATTATTCAGGAAATTTTTTTTATATCATAGCATTGTTTATTGTAGCATTATTTCTTAACTTTTAGGTATTTTTGAAAGAAAGTTTCGATGGTAAAGATTTCGATCCAACCTTCTGGAAGTATGTAGTTGGTGGTAAAATTGGTCTTCCTTGTTCAGTTTTGGTTGAAGACTTTGCTGCAGTTTTCAGTGGTCCTGGACCTCGAGTTTTGGAGACAGTTGATTTAGATTTGAGAGATGCTAAGTATATCCCATGATTTTATATTTTATTTCAAAAATCTGGAAATTATCTCGATCCATGTTTCTAATATTTTATTATTTAATTTATACAAATAAATTGTCAGTTTATTTATCTTTAGACCTGGAATTTCAGATGAGAATAATATATTTTCTGTTCAGAATGATAATATTTAGTTTAAAAAAATACTGCTATGAAAATTATGTATTACTACATTTTTATAATATCTAGTCATTTACATTTCTTTAAATTAAGATACTCATAAAATAATACTCATAAGTTTAATAAGATTTGTTCACTGAAAGGAATTATTCATGTATAAATGCATAAAATTAAAGTTTTTGATACGTTATCTTCTCAATGGCTTCCTGTTATTTAATTTCACTGTCAAGAGTTTGTATAAAAATTAGAATTTTATTATTTAAAATAATCATTTTTAATGTTCTGAGCTAGTATTAGTTTCTTGTCATTTTACCTGATTCGATTTCTGTACAACTGGTTATTTGTGTTATTGAATTAGACAAAAGTGTATGTAGGAAGAAAATCACATATTTACGCATTACATTTTAGTTTAATATGATTATCCTTTAAAAGATTTTTTTATTTTATTTAACAAACATGTAGTATTCATGTATTTATTTTACAGGTTCATCCAGTTTGTTGCACAAATTGGAGGATATGGGGATAATTTAGCTTGTATTGGAGCAACTTCACGTAATCATAATGCATATCTTCAGTATTCAAAGAATGGAGGTTAGTATGATCATCTTACATCTTATTTAAGCCAACAAGGCTAATACTATGCAAATAAGGAATTTAAAAAAAGTCATTACTTATAGCTCAGTTTTTTAATGTATTAGACTTCAATATTCACAAATGAACAATTTTCTACAAAAAGTACACTTTAAAAGAAACTTTTGCTGACATTTTAAAAATATTTTTATCAATTGAAAGACAGTTTTGGAAAGGAGATATTTCTTGTAATTATTATTCTAAAGATAAGTAGTAACTGCACATAGACTATATTTGATTGCCATCTATCTATATCTTTCATAGCTGTAGACCACTTGACTGTTACCTCTATAGTGGCTACATTAATGAATTATCACTATTTTTAATAAGTGGGCTAGGTTTACCATAAAAGCAAATGCCTAATGTTATAAAGTTTTTAATAACAATGTATAATATGTAAAAGTTACGTTTCAACTATGTAAATAGATAAAAAAAAAGTTTAAGCAAATTATTATGTAAGTGTGTATAGTGCACAAAAGAAACGAATCACCCTGAATTTTTTCTTCTTTTTTTGATCTAATGTTCATGTTCATAATGTTATGACTTTCATGTTCTAGGTTCCAAATTTAATCGTTTACAAGGTTAACGCAAATATGCTAATTAATTTGTGTGCACGATATTTTAATTAACGAAATCAGACACAAAAATTTACATTCTTTAAAGAAAAACGTTCTTTTTTTTAAAAGAAACTTGGATTCTTTACCCTCTAAATATAGGAGGTAGCTGCAATCTGAGAAATAGGGTCCCAACAGATTGGTCAAGAAAGGGGACCAAAGTTGGTCCCCTTTCAGCAAACAATCTTGCTATATCTCGATAATTTTTTTAAGTAGTTGGAAAAATTTTACACACAATTATAAAATTTATTATTTCAAAGATAACTCCATGCAAAAAATAATTTTTAATAAATATTATTTATCTTGTTCAATTATAAAGTACACAATATTTTATATCATTTTAAAGACTGTAATTTTAAATGGCAAAATACAATGTTTCAGCAAAATCTGTTATAAAATTTATTATTTCAAAGATAACTCCATGCAAAAAATAATTTTTAATAATTATTATTTATCTTATTGAATTATAAAGTACACAATATTTTATATCATTTTAAAAAATGTAATTCTAAATGGCAAAATACAATGTTTAAGCGAAATCTGTTGAATAGTTCCTGAGAAATCGAATTTTGAATATACAGCTTTTTTAAATTTGTAATTATTGAATTTAATTTTACCCTATAAAATTACAATCTTTAAAATGATGCAAGAAATTTGATGCATTAAAATTTGAATTTTTTCGATTATTACTAAATTAACTAATAGTAAATAATTATAAAAAAATTATCTTTGGATAAACGAATTTTATAACTATATTTAAAAAATTTCCAATGTACTTTGAAAAGTTCTTGTAATATAGTGAAATACACAAAAAGTAAAATTAGCATTAAAGGGTCCAAACTTTAGACTGCTCTCCTTTCAAAATTATGGGGACCATATTTGAGGATAAGGAATCCAAATCCATTGAAAAGAAGTTATGTTTATTCAGAGAAGGTAAGTTTTTACCTCTGATTTCGTAACTTAAAATATCGTCTGTCGAAACTAATTAGCATATTTGAGGTCATTCCCCAAGAACCATTAGGTTTGAGAGCTAGTACATGAAAAACTGATCATTAGTTTAAAAGTTATTTAGAGTGATTCTTTTTTTTTCCTTGCACATTGTATATTTCTACCTTGTTGTTTTGCAGGCATTAGATGGTATCTATTACATGAACTAGACTATTCTATTTATGCACAACCACATCATGATCACATACTCATTCCTGAAGATGCTAGAACAGCATCTACTCGCATTCGATGGTGGCAACCTTCTGGTTTTGTGGGAGAAGAACTTCTACCAGCACTCTCATTGGATGATATTTACATAGGTGGATCAGAAATTAATGCTTTTGAACTTTTTGACGATTTTGAAGACGTTAACGGACCCGAACCAACAAACTGGTGGTTTAGTCCTTACTCTAAAGTGAGGCAATTTTTCAAATATAAATTATGAAAATTTTTGTTCCAAAATTTGCTTCAAGCTGAAAAAGGATTTTTTTTAAAGGTGGAAAATGTTTATTGCTCTCGTCCCAGTCCTGCTCTTACGTGGAAAAAAGACTCTGACATTGAAGAGAGAGGAATTGTAGCAAGGGAGATGATTGTAGAAAACGAGTTTATGATTCAGTTTAAGGTAAATTTCAGGTGTTTTGGCAGAAACTTTTATCAATATCATGATGCATCCTGGTGATATGTATCTTTATGTGATGTATCTTTAGTCATGCATCTTTAGATGACATGCTTTTATAAGCATGTTGATGGCTTTGATAACTGATATTATGATAATTTTTATGAATAACGTTCTGTTGATGTGTTTTTATAATAATTTATGAAAAACAAAGGTAGAAAAGAGCTATTGTTACTTATAATGCAAAACTGCTTTATTCATCAATGTAGACACGATTTTGATGTAAATATATTTTAATTGTCCATGTTTTAATGTTGTACAATTTTTAATGGAAGTTGTGCAATTTTTTAATGGGTTCATGTTCTAATGTTGTACAATATTTTAATGAGTTCATTTTATTTTATTGTTTATGTAAATTCTATTTACTAACGCTTTATACTACGATTACCTACAAAATAACACCATGTTTTTAAACTATCTTTCTAACTTTAACACATTGTAACCCCTATACCGTAGCAAAGTAAAGTTATTGTATGGTGAAAAAAATTCCTTTTTTTTTTTGCATACTATTTGCTTGTAAGACTCATTATACTCATGTGTAACTGTTCAATTATATTATTTTAAGCTTCAATGTTTTGTACAAATTTAAAACAATCATAAAAATCTATAAAAATGGTTAAATCTATGTCAATCCAAATTTGTACATTTTAAAAACTGAAGTTACTAATTTTTTTAGATGACAGTTTTACACAATTTTTTTCTTCTTTTTGATTTGTTTATAAGAACCTAGTTTTTTGTTGCATTATATAATTTTTTTAATATGAAAAGCTGTTGTTTGTATGAACGTAACTGTTTCTAAATTTTTTTATTTTCTGTTCATCACTTCATTCCCTATCCCAAATTAAGAGAAATATTTTGTCAATGAGACAACTTAATTTGCTTTTCAAATAGTAAATAAAAAAATATTTATAACTTTTCTACATATTATCAGTTACTTCAGAAATTTTTTTTTAACATAATTTGAGCTTTAATCATTTATTTATTTGCTTATACAACTCATAATCGCTCTAGACTTTTGCATTGTAATTTTTATTTTTTCATTTTGGGAACTTAAGTTGAAAACTTATTGTCCTTCATGTTAAAAGATGTCTGTATAGTGAGGTTCCTAATATTAAATAAATAAAATTTAACATATTTATTCATTTCTAACCTTAGATAGCTGTTGGATGTGGTGAATATACAGACAATTGCTTGACTAATAATAGTATACGATTAGAATATTCTAAAGAGCCTGGATCTGGTATGTTTAAAATTAATAATTCTAAATGAAATCTTTAATGTTTTGAAACTAATTTTCTTTTAAAATAAACATTCGATTAACAGGTAACTGGGAATTGGTGAACAGAGCTTGTTTTCCAAGTAGTACCATTGATTCAGAATGTGCACCTAATGAATTCCATTCTTCTTCAATCTATTCAACTAACACTCACAAGAAATGGACTCTTGTAATGCTGTACTTGCCTGAGAAAACCTTTTCTAGGTAAGGCAAATTTAATTATAGGATTTGATTTTTCTTTTACATTTCATTAAATATTTCATTCTATATTTGGCCCAAAGGCCTAGATTGCGCCAAGATTTAAATGTTTAATAGTCGCCTGTTTTCTTTCCACCTAGTACCACTCAATTCCGATGGATACAAGATACACCCACAAATATTCCCAAACCTCGAAATCTTCCTGCATGGGCTATAGATGATGTTTACATTGGAGAAGCTTGTCCTTCACTTTGTCATGGAAAAGGAGTTTGCATCAAAGGAAAATGTCACTGTGATCTTGGATATTCAGGTAAGTTTTAAACTTCAAGCTATTTGAACTGATAAATATATTATAAATTAGATTTTATTGTAAATTAGAAAACTTACTTTATTATACGTGATTTTATTATAAATACTATAATAATATACTATTATATTACTATAATAAACTATTTTAATACTGTAATAAACGTTACTTTATTATAAATTTCTTTATTGTAGAATATTACTGTATTATAAATTAGAAAAAAAATTATTTTATACTTTTTATTGCAGGCAATGATTGCAAACCATCAAGAACACTTACTGCTGCTCGGATTCTACCGACCACGTTTCTGGATTCTTTTGAAAATGGTCTTTCTGCTGACCTCTGGGAATTGGTAAAAGGCGGATGGATTAATCAGGAATGTGGTTCCCTAGCTCCCCATGGTGGTGGCAAGCACATGTATATGGGTGAATGTGGAAAACGAGAAATAGTCACCAAGGAGCTTGATGCCTCTACTGCCAGGTATATATTGCATTGTGATGCTTCTTCATTTTCAAGATAAAATTGTGTTGGATATTAAATCTAATAATTTATTTAGCAAACTGATGTTTGTACTGCGTATTGGAACAGAGGAAGGTTTCTCACAATGCCATGTAAACTTGCAACATCCTCTCTCATCAGACAAGTCTGTGATTCTCCAATATAGTATTAATGATGGTATTTCGTGGGAATTTATTGCGCTTCATTCGGCTATGGATTTCAAAAAGGTATTTCTTTCTAGATATTAACTATATCAGTGATTTGTGATTTCATTTATTTTTTACATTGTTTCATGTGAACAAATAAAAATTCACCGTCGGAAAAAATAATCTATTATTTCTATAAAATTATTTGTGCTGAGGTAAATGAATTTTGGTGAAGATACTAATCCCACAATCCTAAAAATTTAAAAAAATTTTTTACTTTGTCCTTTTGGAAAAAACACATGAAAAGCAAATTTTTCTCATATCTTTAGCACTATGAATTGTTAAATATGCATTGCAGACACTTTTTGTTTAATTTTGTTTAATTATTTTGAAATAAAAAATAATTAAATTTTTTAACATATTCAACCATCATCATAAAAATTGCCTAAATAAATAATAAGTGAAATTATTTTAAATTTATTAACTATCTCTATATGTGTGCCTTATATTTTTGTGCATGTTTGTATTGTCTCAATTAGTATTGATTCACTCATTATTTCCCCCACACCGTGAACGGGCATGCAGCTAGCATTTCATAATTATCAAATTTATTCCTAGATAGCATGTATATCTACTTTTAAATACTTTGCTGCCAGTAGAATAATTTTTATATACATTTATAATAATTGCTTATACAATGTATTAAATTTCTTGCATAATGACGTAGAAAATCTAAGGACTTATTAATTGGGTAAAAATGTTTTTCTGAGGTGTGGTTGCTTTAACAAACATAAATGAATTATATTAAAATGTCTTGATTTATTTATAGCTATAACATCATAGTTATATTTGTCTCTCTTGATTTATTTATAACTTGTTATATTTTTATTCATGAATTACAGCCGAGAAGACTAGTTTATGAAATTCCAGAGGCTGCTAAAGTTTATGGTGTTCGATTCCGATGGTGGCAACCTTTTCATGAAGGTAGAGGGTATGATCAGTGGGCTTTAGATAATGTTGAAATTGTTAGGTATGTTCAATATTTCAGTTCCAAATATAAGTAAATATTTTTATCTAAATTGTAATTTTAGTTCTATTGAAAGAAAATTATATCTATAATCTTAAAATTTAATTAACTCTGGTATTTTTTCATACTCGTCCTGAATGATTTCTTTTAATATGTATTCAATTTTTTTTCCTTATAAGTTGACCCCCTAATTTGTGTGAATCTAAATGAAATATATGAAGTAGTTATTTATATCATCATTCAGTTTCATTATTATTTTATTTCTACTATTTTTATTGATAGCCTATTTTGACTTATTTAATAAATTTTATAATCAGGAGCAATATTCTATTAATTCATTATATTTCATACGCAATTTGTTTATTAGATATGCAGGAAACTAAAATAAAAATAATTGGGTAAAAACTTTTGATTTATTAAGCAATTTGATTGTCATTTTTCTAGATGGCAGGTATTTTTTTTATCTTGTGACGACGGATTGGAGAAATGTGTTTTCTTCAGAGAAAATGTATTCATATGTAGAATTTTATCATTTAATTATAGACTAGCTCTAATTGATTAACATTTATTTGGTGGGCCTAAGAATTTAATTCCAAAATTGGTCCCCCCCCCCAAGTTTTGCTTGTCACCTTTAAACACCTTTTTTGTCAGTGAATTGCCATTCATTTTCTTCATGTGTTCCAATATTTGGATATGTTTTGATTTTACATAATTTAGATTTAGTTTAATCATAGTTTTTGATTTTACATAGTTTTCTCAAAGCAGTTTATGAATTTCATTGTTTAATTGTTTCCAACCACACATCACTTCATCTGCATTATGAATCAGAAATGTAGTTTGCTTTCTTTTTGAAAATAAATAAATTTAGCGTTTTCTGAACAAAAGGAAAGTACAGGTTCTTTAGAAGTCTGGGAAAACCAGAAAATTCAGGGAAATTTCTATTATCTGAAAAAGCTTATGGAAATGTTCTAACTTCTTAGTGGAAGAAACTTTAAATTCTTAAATATTCGAATATTTTTCCTAAAGCATTTTAAATCTTAAATTTTTCAATAACTAGAGAAATCTATTTTACTCCTTTGAGCAATTATTTAGTGTCCTCTCTTTTTTATTAAATTATGTTTTAACAAGTAAGTTTCATTATTGTGTGCCAAAAAGTTTTAAATCTGCACAATATTAACATACATATAAACCTAACATAAAGAGAATCAAACTTTATCTTTATTTTCTGACTCAACTGAGATGATGCCAAATTTCTCATAACTTACATTGAGAATTCTGAATGCAAATTTGCCAGGGAAAAAACTGAGTTTAATTAATAAAAAAAAGGAGAGATTATTTGTCCCAAAATATAGCATGCTGCATAGCTACTCATTGCTGTTAATATTACAGAGTAAAAGCATTCATGTAACAGCTCATTGTGAGCTTGGAGAATCATGAAGGCTCCATAATTTCATGACCAATGGCACAATGGTAGTGGTGTAGTCATCACCTTCAAATCACCACCAGGGATTGAACTCTTAGGGAGCACATTGTCGTGTGTTTTCAGTTCCTTAACTACTGTGCCTTCATGGTTTGATGCCACAGTGTAGCTATTCTGAGCTAAACCACACTTTATCAAAAAACGATGGTGCTAAAAACTGTGTTCAATGCAAAAATAAGTTAGCCAAGTAAATATAGAAAAAATTGCTGGTGTGCTTGTAATCACACAATGCATGCATATTTACCTGAAGGAGACCAAGATTGACTTGTGATATTCTTTCTTGTATATCACTCTAATATTGTTTCCTTTTATTGATTTAAATCATACATATTGTCTTATTGACAACTGATTGTATTTCCAAATTTTTAAAATGCTGCTCACACACATATGCATTCACGAATAAACAAAGCACGTTCTGCTGCAGTATTCTCAAACAACTCAAAATAACAGTTTTTTAACTTGCTGGTAAGATATCTTTTGAACTAGTAGATTAGTACAGTGTACTAGTACAGTGTTCGTGACAGATAGGGGTGGTTGACTGAATGTAAACGATAGCAAGCTTTCTATAGCAACGAGAAATTTAGAAAACTTCCGGTGTGTCTCCGTATATGCTTACCAGGCAAAGGGTGAACAGACTTAATATTCTAGGAAGTTTTATTATTGTGATTTGTGTTGAAATTTACGCTTAATTTAACTTCATAAGAGTTTTCTGTAATTAATAGATTCTAACAGGTTATGATCCTAAACAAATTTAAGAAAATTAATATCACAACATAAGTAAAGTGTAAAGTTTGCAATGTTTTGAGCTTTATCCCTTATTGGCTATATTAGTGTAAAATATAGCCGTTTGTTATATATTTATTGTATAGTATCATAGCATGCTTGTGAAGTCTTCCGAATATATATGTTTGCTTTGTTGATATTTAAGTGGAAAGACTGCATTATATTGTAAACACGACATGTATAATAATAATATTGGAGGGCACTCTTTTGCAAGCTTAAGTGTAAAAATCAATTGAAAGTGGTAACCCGGAAGTCTGATGACGACCTTTAACCCCTAACGCCATATGTGCTTAGCTTTAAACGCTCAACCATCTATGGTTTCAAAATAAATTATTTTATTAACCATGACGATTTTGGTCACTTCTTTTTAATTTTGACTGTTCTTTTTTATGAAAGATTACAACTCAGAAGCTAAGTATTGGGCAATATTTTAATAAATATTGAAATAAATTATTTTAAGTAGCTATTGCATCATTACAGTTTTGGTCACTTGTTCACCAAAGGAGAAATGGTTAGTGATAATTATTGTGTTGAAAAATGTCCTTTTTGAAATGCTAATCATAGGGTGTCATTGAAAAAAAATTAAAGCAAAATTTTTATAAAATTGAACATTTAGTGATTCAAATTTCTGAAAGTAATTTTTTTAGTACCTTCTGTAACGTGTTAACTTCAGTCATTTTTCACCAAAATAAGAATAATTTTTCAATTCCATTTTTATAATAATTTGCAACTCAAATGCAAAGTCTAGCACCATTTTAAAGAGTGATATGAGGAGAAACTATTTATATCATAAAAATAAAAATTCTGTGATACAATATTTTTTTAAACAACATGTTTAGTTGGCTATTGTATTAATGCAATTTGGGTTACATTTTGACTGCCATTTTTGGAAAGTGTTTCATTTCAAATGTATAAATAGGTCTACAAAAGGTCTATTTCAAAAAGAGACATTGTATTAATATTTTTATATCATAAAATTAAAAATTCTGCAATTTAAATTTGTGAAATGATTTTTTTTAGTTCTACTATATCATGACAATTTCGTTCACTTTTTCACCAAAGTAAAAATTATTCCCAGTTCTAATTTCATAACGCTTTGCTTCTCAGAAGCAAAGTGTCTCACCATTTTAAAGAGTGACAGGAGCAGAAGCTATTCATCTCATAAAAATATAAGTTTTATGTTGCAATTGTTTTTTCTGAACAAATTTTTCAGTTGTCTATTGTATCAACTCAATTTCGGTCATGTTTTCACTCAAAATGGAAACTTATTTTTGGCTGTCATATTTAAACATTACAACTGAAGTACAAAATGTGCATTTTCAAAAAGAACAAAAGTAAAAATTCTTTAGCTTATATAAATAAAAGTTTGATGATCTGTCAAACAAATTTTACGATTCCAATAATTTTTTTCACCATTTTTTCTCCACTTGATTGTCATTTTCAAGTTTTACTACTTAAATGTAATGCGTGTAGCAGCATTTAAAAAAATGTCATCACTACAAACTGTTTACATAAAATGATCAGTGTATCATTATAGTTTTGATCAATTTTTCAAACATTCTGTTAGAATTTTTCCGATGTTTCCCAATTATTCCTATTAAATTTAAAATACTTTTAATAAAGTTCGATTTGTTTGTTATGAAAGTTTCATTGCTTATTTAAAAATATTCTAAGGTGAAAAAATGGCCATTTTCATAAAGTCAACAATGGTAAAGGAAAAAAAAATCAATAGAAAATTCTTTCAAAATTAGTTCTTTAATAGATATTTAAATCGATTGCTCCATAAAATTGAAAAATAAGTACAAAGAAATATTTTTAGGGATTATCTACATTTTCTAAGGTTTATAAAGGTTCACTGGAAGGCTACAGAGATACAAATCAGTTAGAAGCTTTTAGAAATATAATCGCTTCACCCTTAAGAGGACACTATACTGCATGAGAAACTTTTCATGGCGAATTCTCTTACACCTACTTAAACTCCGTAGTGATGGTGGTTTGCGCTAATGGTTTCCTAAAGACTGGTGGTCTGCCCTACATGACAAGGGTTGGCAAACTGCACTCAAAGCAACCCTTGTGAAAAGTTCCCCTCCTTCAATTATGCAATAAAACATCTTATACGATCGCGATCTCGCCAAGTGGTGGAGATAAGTCAATTGGTGTTTCCTCAAATTTTTCGTCAATTATGCAATTTTTAATTAATAGGAACTTTTTTATTTATTGTAATGTTTTAAAATTTTTTACTTCTGATGTCTAAATTGAGAAAATGGCCTCACAATTTGTAATGGCATGTCTTCGGATCATCCTCAGGGTTGTTTCCCACACCGCTGTCGATAGCCCATTGTGCAACTCTAGTGCGACATAAATAAAGTACTTGCCTAATTTAAAAATAAAATCTATCTTGAAACTTTAATTTTTTTTTGTCCTTTTAAAAGTAATAAAGAGCTTCCAAATTCGTGATTAATTTGAAAACTTAGATAAATTTTATGTATGACCAGGTACTTTTGCACGGTATACGCTACATTGATGCCTGGTCCTAGAATAGAACTCCAAACCTGTGGTATGGGATCGTGAATAGCTAACCACTCTCAGCCATCAAGCGTCTTCACATACATATAAATAATTTAAAGTTTAGAGAAAAGCAAGTTAAAGTACTCTTAGCGTAAACCATGAATTTTCAAATATTTAAAAAGAAATTGTTTTAAAAATAAGAAAATGCAGACAAAGAATGGCAAGATTATTC